TGCAGTGGATGAGACGAGATGACGACATATAGGCCCTGGCTGATATGGTAGTCTTGACCGTCCTTACTACCTTGATTGAAGCACTTTGACAAGGACCGCAGACGGTGAGAGAAGGGATGGGAACGTGCGAATTGAAAACGAATGGAAACCTATCATTTCGCCCCTTCCCACCCCCCACCCCACCCCACCCCACCCAACCCCACCCATTTTGCATTCTTCAACCCACCCAACCCCATCCAACTCAGCCCCACCTCTCTCCACATGATTATTGTGGAGGAGCGGAGAAGGATATTGGTGGGTAACAAACCGCTCATACCTCCCCTCCACTCTCCCTCAATCTGGAGCCACAAGGCGTCTCCTCATTCCCCCCAGTCCTCTTTTTTTCCCCTCTTATCCCCCTCAACATCCTCCCTACGCTTGCACACCCCCCTCCCCCGCTCTCCTGGCAGCAACATCACGGTGAGCGAGCTGCGGGAGGCGCTGGAGGATGAGGGCATGCTGGAGCTGCAAGTCATGACCTTCTCACTCCCTCCACTGCTCTTCCTTACCTGCCTAAACCCCTTCCCTTTGTTTTCGTCCCCCCGCGCCTCTTCTACCCTCACAGCAACATCACGGTGAGCGAGCTGCGGGAGGCGCTGGAGGATGAGGGCATGCTGGAGCCGGGGGATATTGAGCAGATCATTGAACAAGTGGACACGGATAAGGTGAGACTAAGGGGTTGGGAGAGGGTTGGGGATGGCATGTGAGGTGGGAGTGGCAGTGTGGAGTGATCAAACGTGTGTTTGGGGAGGATGAGGGCATGCTGGAGCCGGGGGATATCGAGCAGATGATTGAACAAGTGGACACGGATAAGGTGAGACTAAGGGGTTGGGAGAGGGTTGGGGATGGCATGTGAGGTGGGAGTGGCAGTGTGGAGTGATCAAACGTGTGTTTGGGGAGGATGAGGGCATGCTGGAGCCGGGGGATATCGAGCAGATGATTGAACAAGTGGACACGGATAAGGTGAGACTAAGGGGTTGGGAGAGGGTTGGGGATGGCATGTGAGGTGGGAGTGGCAGTGTGGAGTGATCAAACGTGTGTTTGGGGAGGATGAGGGCATGCTGGAGCCGGGGGATATCGAGCAGATGATTGAACAAGTGGACACGGATAAGGTGAGACTAAGGGGTTGGGAGAGGGTTGGGGATGGCATGTGAGGTGGGAGTGGCAGTGTGGAGTGATCAAACGTGTGTTTGGGGAGGATGAGGGCATGCTGGAGCCGGGGGATATCGAGCAGATGATTGAACAAGTGGACACGGATAAGGTGAGACTAAGGGGTTGGGAGAGGGTTGGGGATGGCATGTGAGGTGGGAGTGGCAGTGTGGAGTGATCAAACGTGTGTTTGGGGAGGATGAGGGCATGCTGGAGCCGGGGGATATCGAGCAGATGATTGAACAAGTGGACACGGATAAGGTGAGACTAAGGGGTTGGGAGAGGGTTGGGGATGGCATGTGAGGTGGGAGTGGCAGTGTGGAGTGATCAAACGTGTGTTTGGGGAGGATGAGGGCATGCTGGAGCCGGGGGATATCGAGCAGATGATTGAACAAGTGGACACGGATAAGGTGAGACTAAGGGGTTGGGAGAGGGTTGGGGATGGCATGTGAGGTGGGAGTGGCAGTGTGGAGTGATCAAACGTGTGTTTGGGGAGGATGAGGGCATGCTGGAGCCGGGGGATATCGAGCAGATGATTGAACAAGTGGACACGGATAAGGTGAGACTAAGGGGTTGGGAGAGGGTTGGGGATGGCATGTGAGGTGGGAGTGGCAGTGTGGAGTGATCAAACGTGTGTTTGGGGAGGATGAGGGCATGCTGGAGCCGGGGGATATCGAGCAGATGATTGAACAAGTGGACACGGATAAGGTGAGACTAAGGGGTTGGGAGAGGGTTGGGGATGGCATGTGAGGTGGGAGTGGCAGTGTGGAGTGATCAAACGTGTGTTTGGGGAGGATGAGGGCATGCTGGAGCCGGGGGATATCGAGCAGATGATTGAACAAGTGGACACGGATAAGGTGAGACTAAGGGGTTGGGAGAGGGTTGGGGATGGCATGTGAGGTGGGAGTGGCAGTGTGGAGTGATCAAACGTGTGTTTGGGGAGGATGAGGGCATGCTGGAGCCGGGGGATATCGAGCAGATGATTGAACAAGTGGACACGGATAAGGTGAGACTAAGGGGTTGGGAGAGGGTTGGGGATGGCATGTGAGGTGGGAGTGGCAGTGTGGAGTGATCAAACGTGTGTTTGGGGAGGATGAGGGCATGCTGGAGCCGGGGGATATCGAGCAGATGATTGAACAAGTGGACACGGATAAGGTGAGACTAAGGGGTTGGGAGAGGGTTGGGGATGGCATGTGAGGTGGGAGTGGCAGTGTGGAGTGATCAAACGTGTGTTTGGGGAGGATGAGGGCATGCTGGAGCCGGGGGATATCGAGCAGATGATTGAACAAGTGGACACGGATAAGGTGAGACTAAGGGGTTGGGAGAGGGTTGGGGATGGCATGTGAGGTGGGAGTGGCAGTGTGGAGTGATCAAACGTGTGTTTGGGGAGGATGAGGGCATGCTGGAGCCGGGGGATATCGAGCAGATGATTGAACAAGTGGACACGGATAAGGTGAGACTAAGGGGTTGGGAGAGGGTTGGGGATGGCATGTGAGGTGGGAGTGGCAGTGTGGAGTGATCAAACGTGTGTTTGGGGAGGATGAGGGCATGCTGGAGCCGGGGGATATCGAGCAGATGATTGAACAAGTGGACACGGATAAGGTGAGACTAAGGGGTTGGGAGAGGGTTGGGGATGGCATGTGAGGTGGGAGTGGCAGTGTGGAGTGATCAAACGTGTGTTTGGGGAGGATGAGGGCATGCTGGAGCCGGGGGATATCGAGCAGATGATTGAACAAGTGGACACGGATAAGGTGAGACTAAGGGGTTGGGAGAGGGTTGGGGATGGCATGTGAGGTGGGAGTGGCAGTGTGGAGTGATCAAACGTGTGTTTGGGGAGGATGAGGGCATGCTGGAGCCGGGGGATATCGAGCAGATGATTGAACAAGTGGACACGGATAAGGTGAGACTAAGGGGTTGGGAGAGGGTTGGGGATGGCATGTGAGGTGGGAGTGGCAGTGTGGAGTGATCAAACGTGTGTTTGGGGAGGATGAGGGCATGCTGGAGCCGGGGGATATCGAGCAGATGATTGAACAAGTGGACACGGATAAGGTGAGACTAAGGGGTTGGGAGAGGGTTGGGGATGGCATGTGAGGTGGGAGTGGCAGTGTGGAGTGATCAAACGTGTGTTTGGGGAGGATGAGGGCATGCTGGAGCCGGGGGATATCGAGCAGATGATCCACTTTGTTTGAGAATTGGGTGAGTTGATGAGGGGGGGGTTACCACGAGTCTTGGCGGTACAAGACTAGACTGAAATGTGATGGTGCGTTGTGGTGACAAGGACATGCTGTCTGTAGCCAAGTGCCATCCCGCAGATCATAAAGCAGATGGACACGGAGGAGGTGAGTTGATGGGAGGGGGGTACTGTACTACCATGTGGAATGGCAGTGTGGGATGGTCGAACGTGTTGTTGTGATGTCGACGGCATGTGGATCCGGTCCGGGGGGGTGGACCAGGTTAGCACCTGATGGAGGAGAAGGGATGGCATGTGGAGTGGTGGTGCCGCTGCTGGTGGTGGTGCTGGTGGTGGTGCTGCTGGTGGTGGTGCTGGTGGTGGTGCTGCTGCTGGTGGTGCTGGTGCTGGTGGTGGTGCTGCTGGTGGTGGTGCTGGTGCTGGTGCTGGTACATAATGACTGGAATCGAATGTGACGGTGTGGTGTCAAGGGCATGTGGAGTGCAAGGCAAATGTTGAGTGAACTGGGGATGACTTGAGTGAGTGGGGAGGGTTTGTGGAGTTGCTGCACCCTAGACCATAAGCCTGACCTGATGACTCCCTTCTTTCTTTCTCCCACCTCTTTCTTTCTCCCACCTCTTTCTTTCTCCCACCTTCCAACTGTGGTGGCCAGTCAAGTAGTTACGCCAGTCAAGTAGTTACTGCTACCAGTTGAAAAATACTAATCCCGAGTCCGTTTTCTGCCCCGTTCACTTTCCCCTTGTGTGAAACAGAGCGGCACGATTGACTACGAGGAGTTTGCAGGCATGATGCGGCAGCAACAGGGAGGAGGGCCGGAAAAGCCTCTTGAGGCCCCCGAAATAATCGTATTAATCTCGGACCTTTTTCCCTGCCCCGTTCACTTTCCCCTTGTGTGGTAACAGAGTGGCACGATCGACTACGAGGAGTTTGCAGCCATGATGCGGCAGCAACAGGGAGGGGCTGCTGAGAAGCCCCGCCGCAAGCAATCACTCTCCTCTGCTTATTATTGAAACAGTGCTTATTTATTGCCGACAGACACTGTCTCTGCAGCAATCACTGCCTGCCTTTTGCTGACAAATCTCTCTACAGCACTCTTGCATGCAACCCTCTGGTTAAATTATGCAAGCTAGTAATTGTTTCTCAGACTGCTGTAGGTAGGCTTTTGAAAGTTTGACTGCTGCCTTTCAGATTTAGCAGCCTCTTATTTTTCAAATGAGTCCCAACTGTTCAGCCATAAAGAGTTTGGTGATACTGGATTTTCATTGCAACCAGACATCTTGCACAAACATTAGTACGCGTTAAAAAAGGAGCAGTTACACGTTTTGGTTACACGCATGCACATAAACTTTTGGGTACACACCACATACTGTACGGTATCCTTGTAACAGTGACATGGCATGAGTGCAGCTCTGCTTTGAGTGCAGCACCACCACCAGTGCAGCTCCAGCCGAATATGTTTTTTTAGAATTCTCAATAAGCAGACCATCAGTGCAGCTCCAGCTGTCCCTGCTCGTTGTCCCCGAAGCCAATGCAGGTGCCGTCACTCAAAGTCCCAAGGCAAGGGTCTTCCCTCATAGAGGAGAACTGCAGATCTGAAGTTCCAGCTCCTGCCGATCCTTCATCAGTGCAGCTCCAGCTGTCCCTGCTCGTTGTCCCCAAAGCCAATGCAGGTGCCGTCACGGCACAGGGCAATGGTGTGGTAGGCTCCTGTGCTGATCTGCTTGTCGGGATGAAGCACATGGAAACACACACACACTCAAGGCACAAGGCGAATGATTCTTTAGTTGACTCAAAAAACTTCAGGGCACGGGGCAACAGTGTGGTAGGCTCCTCCTGTGCTGATCTTTTGCATGAAACACACACCCCCACACACACACACACACACACACACACACACACACACACACACACACACACACACACACACACACACACACACACACACACACACACACACACACACACACACACACACACACACACACACACACACACACACACACACACACACACACACACACACACACACACACACACACACACACACACACACACACACACACACACACACACACACACACACACACACACACACACACACACACACACACACACACACACACACACATGGTACTCACATTGCTTCTGTTCAACACATTGACGAAGCATGGGGGATTGTGCTGCAGAAACGAGCAGTAATGCGCGCAGTGCATGCATCAACAGCGAAATCAAACGTATCACGAGCAGGCTGATTCCATTCTGAGGCGCTTCAGAAGTTGGGATCACGTCACGCATCAAGCACAGTCCGTCTCCCAGTCCCACGAAACACCTTGTCCGTCTCCCTGCTGCCACGGTGCCTCCCCCAAACACCCTCTTGCCTTTCCCCCTCACCTGCACCACTCGTTTCCCCTCCAGAGCCTCGACAGGCATGGAGCCAAAACCTTGACTCGCCGTGCGTCCATGCCCTAGCTGAACGGACCCCAGAGCTAGGGGGTCCTCAACACATCAACCTCTTGCCTTCCCCCCTCACCTGCACCACTCGCTTCCCCTCCAGAGCCTCAACAGGCATGGGAAAGAAGACTTTGTCTCGCCCTGCCGCCACGCCCAGCCCTCCAAACGCCGTCCACCCAAACGCCAGCACCCGCCCTTGGTCGTCCAGAGCTAACGTCTTGCGCTTACCCAGAGTCACCTGGTTAGAAGGAGGGGAAATTCATGAATGTGACTTTCACATATATATGCTATCATCTATGTCGCTAAATGTTGAGTCGCCAAGCAGTCCACTCCACCCAAACGCCAGCACGCGCCCTTGGTCGTCCAGAGCTAGCGTCTTGCGCTTGCCCAGCGTCACCTGATCGAAAGGAGTGAGAATATGTGAACATGTTTGTGGTTATGCCTAAAGTCACATATGATTATGACAATGATTATGACAATAATTATGACAGTCGCTGTGAAGTTGATGCAAACGCCACATGTGGATCACACGCAGATCGGCCAATCATACCTGCACTATCCGCGTGTGCAGCAGCCCCTCCACGACACGTGGCAGCACCTCATTGGCCTCGCTGCCGTTGCCCAAGCACCCACAGTAACCCGACCCCCACATGTGCACCTGCCCACAGAGAGAGAGAGCGCGACAGGCCATAGGTCGCACAAGGGAAGACAGCAGCCGATGGGATTTAGGTTAGCACCCACAAGACGGCTTGAATGACCCAGATTCGTTAGATGAAATGACTTTTCGGCAATAGAACGGGAGCAAGAGCAGCAGAGAAGGCCGGTTCACTCATTCGTGCACTCACCCACCCCAGGCAGTCAAGAGAAGCGGAATATACCCTCTAACGCCTCTTTACACCTCTTCACACCTCATTCCTGCACTCACCCATCCCAGGCAATCAAGAGCAGCAGAGAAGGCCTCTTCACTCATTCGTGCACTCACCCTTCCCAGGCAGTCGAGAGCAGCGGAATAGTCAACTGAAGCCGCCACCTTCATCAGACGCACGCCCGAACCCACCAGCCACGCTATGGGGTGCAGCACCAGGCAGCCAGGAGCAGCAGAACACACCTCCTAAGACCTTCTAACACCTTTTCACACCTTACGTTTCACTCACCCGTCCCAGGCAGTCAAGAGCAGCAGAGTAGTCAACCGAAGCAGCCACCTTCATCACACGCACACCCGCCCCCACCAGCCATGCTATGGGGTGCGGTACCAGACAGTCTGACAGGTCGGCTGTAGCAGCCGCCGCTGCTGCAGCTGTAGCAGCAGCCGCCACTGCCGCAGCTGTAGCAGCAGCCGCCACTGCAGCTGTAGCAGCACCAGAAGCACGTGCGGATGCAGCGGTGCCAACAGCAGCAGCACCACCCCCTGCACGTCTGCCCACATGCACTCTAGAAACACCCCCCGCTCGGCCCTGCACTTGCCCCACCCGTCCTCCTCCTCCCCTCATCCACTCCCCCCCCTCCTCTCCCAATCCCTGCACTCCCCCCGCCCATTCCCCCCACCCCTGCGCGCCCCCCAGCTGGCCGCTGTGCCCTCTGCCAAACGCCAGCACCACGCCAGCAGCAGTGACGGCCAGGGAGTGACTGGCGCCAGCTGCTACACTCACTATGCGGTACTGTCCGTACGGATCACTGCTGCTGCCGCCGCTGTTGTTGGTGCTTTTGTTGGTGCTGCTGCCACCCGTTTCGTTGTTTTGGCCGTCCGTATCGCTACTGTTGCCGCCCGTACTGTTGTTGTTGCCATCCGTATTCCCACCGCTGCTGCCGCCCGTCAATCCGCCCAGCATGGCAGCCAGCACCTCTGACCGCAGCCCCTCAACGACCGTCGGCCGGCATCTGTCGTCCGTATCTCCCAGACCCAGCCGGCCGTTGCCGCCCGCTCCGAATGCATACACCGTCCCATCCCGAGCAAGCACGAGAACATGGCTCCTCCCTGTTGCGACCTGCTGACATGGCACGCCTCTTAAAGCCTCCACTAATTTCGGCTGGGGAAATTTCTTCCCCACCCCGTCCTGCGCGTGCCCACAGCACCCGTTAGTGTCCTGCCCCATAGTGTAAACGTCCCCGGACTTCGTTAGTATCACAGTGAAGGCTCTCCCGCCCGCCACTTGCGCCACCCTCTCCCCCATGCCGCCCTCAGCTTCCTCCCTACTCGCCGCATTCCCCCCGTTCCATCCGTTCTCCCCATTCCCCTCCGCGTCCGCGCTTCCCCCCACCACAATTTGCGCCCTCAGGGCTCCCCTCCGCCCCCGCGCCCCTCCCCGCCGCTGCTGCACCTGCTGCTGCGCTTGTACGCCAGGCCTCTCCGCGCCTGCTACTGCCGAACCTGCTGCTGCCGAACCTGTTGGTACGGCACCGCCACCTTGCCCAGTTCCGAGCCTGACAGCAGCCAGGCCGGCAGCAAGGGCGGCAGCCGCCCACCCTTGGCCTGCCGCCTGGTTCCCGTCTCTCGCCAGGGCAGGTTCATCTGGGGGAGGTTGATCCGCGGTAGCTACTGGGGCGGGCTGATGATCTGGGGGAGGTTGATTTGAGGCTGGCGGAAGGGTGAACTGGGGAGAACCGTCGCGCGAGCCTGAACCGTACACCCACAGCTCGCCGTTTGTCTTTATCTGGAATGAACAGTAATCACCCGCGTAAACTGCTGATGCCAGCTCGTCGGAGCTCCGCGCGCCGGCGCTCGGCGCGCGGGCTTCCCCGCGCAGCGACTCTTCCTCCGCTTCCCGCCGCAACCCCCAGGCGTCCTCCACCGCCCATGCGAAGCGCAGGACGCGCAGCCAGCTTCCGCCGCACCGCTGCGCCGCCATTCCGCACAGGATGTCCGCCGGCACGCGCGCCAGAAGCGGGTGGCGCAAGCATCGCGCGCGCGCGGAGGTTTCGACGACGGAGTGGCGGCGGTTCGGGGGGAGCAGCAGCGGGCGGCGGAGGGCGTAGCAGACCGCCTCGAGCCGCGCGAGGTCTTCCGGGGAAAGCTCGCGGTTCGGGTCGGAGGACGGCCGGGAAAGCAGGTGTAGAAGGACGTCTTCTGATAGGTCGGCGAAGGACGTTGTCGAACGCGTCGCAGGAGTTGATGGTACGAGTGCCGTGGCCATAGCCGGAAACGACCTTGGAGTAATCGTTACTTGTAGTCTGCTCCTGGAGAGGATTCTAGAGAGGAGCTTGAAAACACAAGACGAAGAATATCTTGGAATTATGGAGCTAGCGAGGCTGTTTGCTGGGTTGTTACGCGTAGTCAGCTACTGTCGATATGGCCGGAACAAGTTCAGCTGCAGTCCTGTAATATAGATGTGCGAGTGAACGTCGCTGTGATACCCCATTATATAAAGCTCCTCCGTGAGATGGCCTGGTGGTGAAGTTGCTGCTGCTGGTTTCTAATTTCGTAGAAGTTTTTGTGCGTTTCGATACGGTTTTGCGTGTTATACTTCGTTGATTTACGGTGCTTCTTCTCTCTCAACGGCTTTTTCCTTCGGTGGCTGGTGTGGTGAGGTGAAGAGGTGAGTGAAAACCGTGGTGGTTTGCGACGAAATTGCGGTTTGGCGCGAGTCGCAGGGATGTTCGCGACATTAGCGGAAAGCGAAAACATGAAGAAGCTGACACGGGTAATACACGCCCTCCGATTCTTTACGAACGGCTGCGATGCGTAATGATTGCCTGTCAACGAGGGAATGTTACGAAATGTGCAGGAAGATCAGCCAATAAACGGCGAGAACCAGCGCGATCATCCATGCAAGGCTCAGTTCGTTTGACGTGGTGGGAAAGTCGACGAATTGCGATGGTAGATTTCGAGACTGTGCTGTCAGCAGACCAATCAGAGCGCGTCCAGACACAGTAACGGGAGTTCGGTCTGTGACAGTATAACACCGTAAGACACCGTACACTAACAAAGTATATCTGCATGACCTACACTCCGAGAAATGTTATACCCCGCACAGCTAGCAACTCGCATTTTCGCACCCCTGATCTTGAACAAGAGCCAGTCTCCTCAATATCCCAACCAATTTCCACAACAGTGCTCCAAATACTTCTCATTTGAACTGAACTACGAGCATCTAGACAGATGGCAGATAGTTGGGGGGGAAACCCTCGCGGCGGAGGCCGCGGGAGAGGCGGAAGAGGTGGAAGTGGCGGAAGAGGCGGACGAGGCGGTCGAGGGTTTAGCGGATCATTTGGAGGTTCAAGGGACTCGCAAGGTTCAGGGTATAAGGGAGGTTGGGGAGGTTCAGGTTCGGGGGGCGGGGCTGGGCGGGGATCGGATGGAGGGGGGGGAAGACGAGGGGGAGGCTGGGGAGGCAGACGCGGAAGAGGCGACGAGAGGGGGGGAAGAGGCGGCGGAAAGGGGGATTGGGGAAGACAGCAGGGCGCAGCAGGCGGAGCCATTGGGCGCGGCGGGGGCGCCAGCCCGGGCGATTCGAGAAAGCGCAAGTTTGAAGGCGCAGGCGGAGGTTCTGGCGAGGGCGGAAGGGGAGGCGCGGGGGGCCGGGGGTGGGGGAGAGGAGGCGGGCGCGGGAGGGACGGGGGACGAGGCGGGGGGCGGGGCGGCGGACAAGGGCGAGGGGGAGGAAGAGGGGAGAGCGCACCTAGCGGACCGATGGATAGGAAGCAGAGGAAGGTGCGTGCAATGGCACTCATGGCATTCGTCGGCTTTAAAGCACCTCGTCATTCCCATGGACTCCGTCCCTCCTTTGAACCCCGTCCCCCCCTCAAAACCCTTCCCTTTTGTCCGCCTCTCCTACCCTCTGTACCCTCCAGCGCCTGCTGCATTAAACCCTCTCGCACCTCCTCTCGTCTTATCACTCCCACACTCTCCCCCCCGCCCGTCGCGTCTTAGTTTCTTCCTCTCCTCCTCCGCTCCCCCTCCTACCCTCTCTCCTTCCTTCCTCTCCCCCCCCCCCCCTCTCCTCCCCGTTCCCCTTCCTACCTTTTCCCCTGCGCGCAGGAATTGGCGGAGGCGCGGAAGAAGCGCCGCCGCCCGCTCTTTGATCTCGAGAAGGTGGGCACGGGCAGGGTTTAGCGCGCCAGGGCTGTAGATTTGCCCTTTAACCCCCGAACCCCTGATCTGAAAAGGCGCGTTCAGGCAGACAAGGTTTAGCACGTGCTAAGTGTAGTGAGAGGCGGGTTTGGAGCAAACGGGCTGAGTGCATGAGCGCAGAGTGCATCAGCCCAGCGCCAACGGGTTTAGGAGAGAGGCTGGGGGAGGGGACATAGTAGGATGGGGCGATAGGGGACTATGTCTGTACTAGCCACGCCATGCCACGCCCTGCCACGTCCTGCCACGTCCTGCCACACGCCATGCCACGCCATGCCATGCTGTGAAAGGCCATAGCCTGAACTTGCCCTCCCATGTGTGTGTGTGTTTGTGGTCCCATTTGGTTTGTGCTGGATACTGCTGTGTGTGCATGTGTGACTGAATGCATTGGTGATTGCACATCTGTGTGACTGTACATGTGTGTGACTGTATGCATGCATGTGTGGCTGTATATCTGTCTGGCTGCACCAGGAGTTGACGCTGCTGTGGGAGAAGAGTCGGCAGAGGAACATCGACATGGAGAAGAAGCGCAAGTGAGAGCTGCGTGCTGAGAGTGCCGAGTGCGTGGGTGCCGAGTGCGTGGGTGCCGAGTGCGTGGGTGCCGAGTGCGTGGGTGCCGAGTGCGTGGGTGCCGAGTGCGTGGGTGCCGAGTGCGTGGGTGCCGAGTGCGTGGGTGCCGAGTGCGTGGGTGCCGAGTGCGTGGGTGCCGAGTGCGGGGGTGCCGAGTGCGTGGGTGCCGAGTGCGTGGGTGCCGAGTGCGTGGGTGCCGAGTGCGTGGGTGCCGAGTGCGTGGGTGCCGAGTGCGTGGGTGCCGGAGTGTCGTTGGGTGCCGAGTGCGTGGGTGCCGAGTGCGTGGGTGCCGAGTGCGTGGGTGCCGAGTGCGTGGGTGCCGAGTGCGTGGGTGCCGAGTGCGTGGGTGCCGAGTGCGTGGGTGCCGAGTGCGTGGGTGCCGAGTGCGTGGGTGCCGAGTGCGTGGGTGCCGAGTGCGTGGGTGCCGAGTGCGTGGGTGCCGAGTGCGTGGGTGCCGAGTGCGTGGGTGCCGAGTGCGTGGGTGACGAGTGCGTGGTGCCGAGTGCGGTGGTGCCGAGTGCGTGGGTGCCGAGTGCGTGGGTGCCGAGTGCGTGGGTGCCGAGTGCGTGGGTGCCGAGTGCGTGGGTGCCGAGTGCGTGGGTGCCGAGTGCGTGGGTGGCCGAGTGCGTGGGTGCCGAGTGCGTGGGGTGCCGAGTGCGTGGGTGCCGGTGCGTGGGTGGCCGAAGTGCGTGGGTGCCGAGTGCGTGGGTGCCGAGTGCGTGGGTGCCGAGCTGCCGGTGGGTTGCCGAGTGCGTGGGTGCCGAGTGCGTGGGTGCCGAGTGCGTGGGTGCCGAGTGCGTGGGTGCCGAGTGCGTGGGTGCCGAGTGGCGTGGGTGCCGAGTGCGTGGTGCCGAGTGCGTGGGTGCCGAGTGCGTGGGTGCCGAGTGCGTGGGTGCCGAGTGCGTGGGTGCCGAGTGCGTGGGTGCCGATGCGTGGGTGCCGAGTGCGTGGGGCCGAGTGCGTGGGTGCCGAGTGCGTGGGTTGCCGAGTGCGTGGGTGCCGAGTGCGTGGGTGCCAGAGTGCGTGGGTGCCGAGTGCGTGTGACGAGTGCGTGGTGCCGAGTGCTGGTGCCGAGTGCGTGGGTGCCGAGTGCGTGGGTTCCGAGTGCGGGGTGCCGAGTGCGTGGGTGCCGAGTGCGTGGGTGCCGAGTGCGTGGGTGCCGAGTGCGTGGGTGCCGAGTGCGTTGGGTGCCGAGTGCGTGGGTGCCGAGTGCGGGGGTGCCGAGTGCCGTGGGTGCCGAGTGTTGCCGAGTGCGTGGTTGCCGAGTGCGTGGGTGCCGAGTGCGTGGGTGCCGAGTGCGTGGGTGCCGAGTGCGTGGGTGCCGAGTGCGTGGTTGCCGAGTGCGTGGGTGCCGAGTGCGTGGGTGCCGAGTGCGTGGGTGCCGAGTGCGTGGGTGCCGAGTGCGTGGGTGCCGAGTGCGTGGGTGCCGAGTGCGTGGGTGCCGAGTGCGTGGTTGCCGAGTGCGTGGGTGCCGAGTGCGTGGTTGCCGAGTGCGTGGGTGCCGAGTGCGTGGGTGCCGAGTGCGTGGGTGCCGAGTGCGTGGGTGCCGAGTGCGTGGGTGCCGAGTGCGTGGGTGCCGAGTGCGTGGGTGCCGAGTGCGTGGGTGCCGAGTGCGTGGGTGCCGAGTGCGTGGGTGCCGAGTGCGTGGGTGCCGAGTGCGTGGGTGCCGAGTGCGTGGGTGCCGAGTGCGTGGGTGCCGAGTGCGTGGTGCCGAGTGCGTGGGTGCCGAGTGCGTGGGTGCCGAGTGCGTGGGTGCCGAGTGCGTGGGTGCCGAGTGCGTGGGTGCCGAGTGCGTGGGTTGCCGAGTGCGTGGTGCCGAGTGCGTGGGGTGCCGAGTGCGTGGGTGCCGAGTGCGTGGGTGCCGAGTGCGTGGGTGCCGAGTGCGTGGGTGCCGAGTGCGTGGGTGCCGAGTGCGTGGGTGCCGAGTGCGTGGGTGCCCGAGTGCGTGGGTGCCGAGTGCGTGGGTGCCGAGTGCGTGGGTGCCGAGTGCGTGGGTGCCGAGTGCGTGGGTGCCGAGTGCGTGGGTGCCGAGTGCGTGGGTGCCGGTCGTGGGTGCAGTGCGTGGGGTGCCGAGTGCGTGGGTGCCGAGTGCGTGGGTGCCGAGTGCGTGGGTGCCGAGTGCGTGGTTGCCGAGTGCGTGGGTGCCGAGTGCGTGGGTGCCGAGTGCGTGGGTGCCGAGTGCGTGGGTGCCGAGTGCGTGGGTGCCGAGTGCGTGGGTGCCGAGTGCGTGGGTGCCGAGTGCGTGGTGCCGAGTGCGTGGGTGCCGAGTGCGTGGGTGCCGAGTGCGTGGGTGCCGAGTGCGTGGGTGCCGAGTGCGTGGGTGCCGAGTGCGTGGGTGCCGAGTCGTGGGTGCCGAGTGCGTGGTGCCGAGTTGCGTGGGTGCCGAGTGCGTGGGTGCCGAGTGCGTGGGTGCCGAGTGCGTGGGTGCCGAGTGCGTGGGTGCCGAGTGCGTGGGGGCCGAGTGCGTGGGGGCCGAGTGCGTGGGTGCCGAGTGCGGGGTGCCGAGTGCGTGGGTGCCGAGTGCGTGGGTGCCGAGTGCGTGGGTGCCGAGTGCGTGGGTGCCGAGTGCGTGGGTGCCGAGTGCGTGGGTGCCGAGTGCGTGGGTTGCCGAGTGCGTGGGTGCGCGAGTGCGTGGGTGCCGAGTGCGTGGGTTGCCGAGTGCGTGGGTGCCGAGTGCGTGGTGCCGAGTGCGTGGGTGCCGAGTGCGTGGGTGCCGAGTGCGTGGGTTGCCGAGTGCGTGGGTGCCGAGTGCGTGGGGTGCCGAGTGCGTGGGTGCCGAGTGCGTGGGTGCCGAGTGCGTGGGTGCCGAGTGCGTGGTTGCCGAGTGCGTGGGTGCCGAGTGCGTGGGTGCCGAGTGCGTGGGTGCCGAGTGCGTGGGTGCCGAGTGCGTGGGTGCCGAGTGCGTGGGTGCCGAGTGCGTGGGGTGGCCGAGTGCGTGGGTGCCGAGTGCGTGGGTGCCGAGTGCGTGGGTGCCGAGTGCGTGGGTGCCGAGTGCGTGGGTGCCGAGTGCGTGGGTGCCGAGTGCGTGGTGCCGAGTGCGTGGGTGCCGAGTGCGTGGGTGCCGAGTGCGTGGGTGCCGAGTGCGTGGGTGCCGAGTGCGTGGGTGCCGAGTGCGTGGGTGCCGAGTGCGTGGGTGCCGAGTGCGTGGGTGCCGAGTGCGTGGGTGCCGAGTGCGTGGGTGCCGAGTGCGTGGGTGCCGAGTGCGTGGGTGCCGAGTGCGTGGGTGCCGAGTGCGTGGGTGCCGAGTGCGTGGGTGCCGAGTGCGTGGGTGCCGAGTGCGTGGGTGCCGAGTGCGTGGGTGCCGAGTGCGTGGGTGGCCGAGTGCGTGGGTGCCGAGTGCGTGGGTGCCGAGTGCGTGGGTGCCGAGTGCGTGGGTGCCGAGTGCGTGGGTGCCGAGTGCGTGGGTGCCGAGTGCGTGGGTGCCGAGTGCGTGGGTGCCGAGTGCGTGGGTGCCGAGTGCGTGGGTGCCGAGTGCGTGGGTGCCGAGTGCGTGGGTTGGCCGAGTGCGTGGGTGCCGAGTGCGTGGGTGCCGAGTGCGTGGGTGCCGGAGTGCGTGGGTGCCGAGTGCGTGGGTGCCGAGTGCGTGGGTGCCGAGTGCGTGGGTGCCGAGTGCGTGGGTGCCGAGTGCGTGGGTGCCGAGTGCGTGGGTGCCGAGTGCGTGGGTGCCGAGTGCGTGGGTGCCGAGTGCGTGGGTGCCGAGTGCGTGGGTGCCGAGTGCGGTGGGTGCCCCGAGTGCGTGGGTGCCGAGTGCGTGGGGGCCGAGTGCGTGGTGCCGAGTGCGTGGGTGCCGAGTGCGTGGGTGCCGATTGCGTGGGTGCCGAGTGCGTGGGTGCCGAGTGCGTGGGTGCCGAGTGCGTGGGTTGCCGAGTGCGTGGGTGCCGAGTGCGTGGGTGCCGAGTGCGTGGGTGCCGAGTGCGTGGGTGCCGAGTGCGTGGGTGCCGAGTGCGTGGTGCCGAGTGCGTGGGTGCCGAGTGCGTGGGTGCCGAGTGCGTGGGTGCCGAGTGCGTGGGTGCCGAGTGCGTGGGTGCCGAGTGGCGTGGGTGCCGAGTGCGTGGGTGCCGAGTGCGTGGGTGCCGAGTGCGTGGGTGCCGAGTGCGTGGGGTGCCGAGTGCGTGGGTGCCGAGTGCGTGGGTGCCGAGTGCGTGGGTGCCGAGTGCGTGGGTGGCCGAGTGCGTGGTTGCCGAGTGCGTGGGTGCCGAGTGCGTGGGTGCCGAGTGCGTGGGTGCCCGCAGTGCCGTGGGTGCCGAGTGCGTGGGTGCCGAGTGCGTGGGTGCCGAGTGCGTGGGTGCCGAGTGCGTGGGTGCCGAGTGCGTGGGGTGCCGAGTGCGTGGGTGCCGAGTGCGTGGGTGCCGAGTGCGTGGGTGCCGAGTGCGTGGGTGCCGAGTGCGTGGGTGCCGAGTGCGTGGGTGCCGAGTGCGTGGTGTGCCGAGTGCGTGGGTGCCGAGTGCGTGGGGGTGCCGAGTGCGTGGGTGCCGAGTGGCTGGGTGCCGAGTGCGTGGGTGCCGAGTGCGTGCCGAGTGCGTGGGTGCCGAGTGCGTGGGTGCCGAGTGCGTGGGTGCAGAGTGCGTGGTGCCGAGTGCGTGGGTGCCGAGTGCGTGGGTGCCGAGTGCGTGGGTGCCGAGTGCGTGGGTGCCGAGTGCGTGGGTGCCGAGTGCGTGGGTGCCGAGTGCGGGGGTTCCGATGCGTGGTCCGAGTGGGGCGTGGGTGCCGAGTGCGTGGGTTGCCGAGTGCGTGGGTGCCGGAGTGCGTGGGGTGCCGAGTGCGTGGGTGCCGAGTGCGTGGTGCCGAGTGCGTGGGTGCCGAGTGCGTGGGTGCCGAGTGCGTGGGTGCCGAGTGCGTGGGTGCCGAGTGGCGTGGGTGCCGAGTGCGTGGGTGCCGAGTGCGTGGGTGCCGAGTGCGTGGGTGCCGAGTGCGTGGGTGCCGAGTGCGTGGGTGCCGAGTGCGTGGGTGCCGAGTGCGTGGGTGCCGAGTGCGTGGGGTGCCGAGTGCGTGGGTGCCGAGTGCGTGGGTGCCGAGTGCGTGGGTGCCGAGTGCGTGGGTGCCGAGTGCGTGGGTGCCGAGTGCGTGGGTGCGTGGGTGCCGAGTAGCGTGGGGTGCCGAGTGCGTGGGTGCCGAGTGCGTGGGGTGCCGAGTGCGTGGGGGCCGAGTGCGTGGGTGCCGAGTGCGGTGGGTGCCGAGTGCGTGGGTGCCGAGTGCGTGGGTGGCCGAGTGCGTGGGGTGCCGAGTGCGTGGTGCCGAGTGCGTGGGTGCCGAGTGCGTGGGTGCCGAGTGCGTGGGTGCCGAGTGCGTGGGTGCCGAGTGCGTGGGTGCCGAGTGCGTGGGTGCCGAGTGCGTGGGTGCCGAGTGCGTGGTGCCGAGTGCGTGGGTGCCGAGTGCGTGGGTGCCGAGTGCGTGGGTGACGAGTGCGTGGGTGCCGAGTGCTGGGTGCCGAGTGCGTGGGGTGCCGAGTGCGTGGGTGCCGAGTGCGTGGGGTGCCGAGTGCGTGGTTGCCGAGTGCGTGGGTGCCGAGTGCGTGGTTGCCGAGTGCGTGGTTGCCGAGTGCGTGGGTGCCAGTGCGTGGGGTGCCGAGTGCGTGGGTGCCGAGTGCGTGGGTGCCGAGTGCGTGGTTGCCGAGTGCGTGGTTGCCGAGTGCGTGGGTGCCGAGTGCGTGGGTGCCGAGTGCGTGGTTGCCGAGTGCGTGGGTGCCGAGTGCGTGGGTGCCGAGGTGCGTGGGGTGCCGAGTGCGGGGGGTGCCCGGTGCAGTGGGGTGCCGAGTGCGTGGGTTGCCGAGTGCGTGGGTGCCGAGTGCGTGGGTGGACGAGTGCGTGGGTGCCGAGTGGCGTGGGTGCCGAGTGCGTGGGTACGAGTGCGTGGGTGCCGAGTGCGTGGGGTGCCGAGTGCCGTGGGTGGACAGAGTGCGTTGGTGCCGAGTGCGTGGGTGCCGAGTGCGTGGGTGAGCGAGTGCGGTGGGTTGCCGAGTGCGTGGGTGCCGAGTGCGTGGGGTGCCGAGTGCGTGGGTGGCCGAGTTGCGTGGGGTGCCGAGTGCGTGGGTGCCGAGTGCGTGGGTGCCGAGTGCGTGGGTGCCAGAGTTGCGTGGGTGCCGAGTGCGTGGGTGGCCGAGTGGCGTTGGGTGCCGAGTGCGTGGGTGCCGAGTGCGTGGGTGCCGGAGTGCGTGGGTGCCGGAGTTGCGTGGGTGGCCGAGTGCGTGGGGTGCCGAGTGCGTGGGGTGCCGAGTGCGTGGGTGCCGAGTGCGTGGGTTGCCGAGTGCGTGGGTGCCGAGTGCGTGGGTGCCGAGTGCGTGGGTGCCGAGTGCGTGGGTCCGAGTGCGTGGTGCCGAGTGCGTGGGTGCCGAGTGCGTGGGTGCCGAGTGCGTGGGTGCCGAGGAAGAGTGCGTGGGTGCCGAGTGCGTGGGTGCCGAGTGCGTGGGTCCCGAGTGCGTGGGTGCCGAGTGCGTGGTTGGCCGAGTGCGTGGGTGCCGAGTGCGTGGTGGCCGAGTGCGTGGGTGCCGAGTGCGTGGGTGCCGAGTGCGTGGGTGCCGATTGGCGTGGGTGCCGAGTGCGTGGGTGGCCGAGTGCGTGGGTGCCGAGTGCGTGGGTGCCGAGTGCGTGGGTGCCGAGTGCGTGGGTGCCGAGTGCGTGGGTGCCGAGTGGCGTGGGTGCCGAGTGCGTGGGTGCCGAGTGCGTGGGTGCCGAGTGCGTGGGTGCCGAGTGCTGGGTGCCGAGTGCGTGGGTGCCGAGTGCGTGGGGTGGCCCGAGTGCGTGGTGCCGAGTGCGTGGGTGCCGAGTGCGTGGGTGCCGAGTGCGTGGGTGCCGAGTGCGTGGGTGCCGAGTGCGTGGGTGCCGAGTGCGTGGGTGCCGAGTGCGTGGGTGCCGAGTGCGTGGTGCCGAGTGCGTGGGTGCCGAGTGCGTGGGTGCCGAGTGCGTGGGTGCCGAGTGCGTGGGTGCCGAGTGCGTGGGTGCCGAGTGCGTGGGTGCCGAGTGCGTGGGTGCCGAGTGCGTGGGTGCCGAGTGCGTGGGTGCCGAGTGCGTGGGTGCCGAGTGCGTGGGTGCCGAGTGCGTGGGGTGCCGAGTGCGTGGGTGCCGAGTGCGTGGGTGCCGAGTGCGTGGGTGCCGAGTGCGTGGGTGCCGAGTGCGTGGGTGCCGAGTGCGTGGGTGCCGAGTGCGTGGGTGCCGAGTGCGTGGTGCCGAGTGCGTGGGTGCCGAGTGCGTGGGTGCCGAGTGCGTGGGTGCCGAGTGCGTGGGTGCCGAGTGCGTGGGTGCCGAGTGCGTGGGTGCCGAGTGCGTGGGTGCCGAGTGCGTGGGTGCCGAGTGCGTGGGTGCCGAGTGCGTGGGTGCCGAGTGCGTGGGTGCCGAGTGCGTGGGTGCCGAGTGCGTGGGTGCCGAGTGCGTGGGTGCCGAGTGCGTGGGTGCCGAGTGCGTGGGTGCCGAGTGCGGTGGGTGCCGAGTGCGTGGGTGACGAGTGCGTGGGTGCGCGAGTGCGTGGGTGCCGAGTGCGTGGGTGCCGAGTGCGTGGGTGCCGAGTGCGTGGGTGCCGAGTGCGTGGGTGACGAGTGCGTGGGTGCCGAGTGCGTGGGTGCCGAGTGCGTGGGTGCCGAGTGCGTGGGTGGCCGAGTGCGTGGGTGCCGAGTGCGTGGGTGCCAGTGCGTGGGTGCCGAGTGCGTGGGTGCCGAGTGCGTGGGTGCCGAGTTGCTGGTGGCCGAGTGCGTGGGTGGACCGAGTGCGTGGGTGCCGAGTGCGTGGTTGCCGAGTGCGTGGGTGCCGAGTGCGTGGGTGCCGAGTGCGTGGGTGCCGAGTGCGTGGGTGCCGAGTGCGTGGGTGCCGAGTGCGTGGGTGCCGAGTGCGTGGGTGCCGAGTGCGTGGGTGCCGAGTGCGTGGTGCCGAGTGCGTGGGTGCCCGAGTGCGTGGTGCCGGTGCGTGGGTGCCGAGTGCGTGGGTGCCGAGTGCGTGGGTGCCGAGTGCCGGGGGGTGCCGAGTGCGTGGGTGCCGAGTGCGTGGGTGCCGAGTGCGTGGGTGCCGAGTGCGTGGGTGCCGAGTGCGTGGGTGCCGAGTGCGTGGGTGCCGAGTGCGTTGGGTGCCGAGTGCGTGGGGTGCCGAGTGCGTGGGTGCCGAGTGCGTGGTGCCGAGTGCGTGGGTGCCCGAGTGCGTGGGTGCCGAGTGCGTGGGTGGCCGAGTGCCGGGGCGTGGGGCCGAGTGCGTGGGTGCCGAGTGCGTGGGTGCCGAGTGCGTGGGTGCCGAGTGCGTGGGTGCCGAGTGCGTGGGTTGCCGAGTGCGTGGGTGCCGAGTGCGTGGGTGCCGAGTGCGTGGGGCGTGCGTGGGTGCCGAGTGCGTGGTGCCGAGTTGCCGAGTGCGTGGGTGCCGAGTGCGTGGGTGCCGAGTGCGTGGGGTGCCGAGTGCGTTGGTGCCGAGTGCGTGGGTGCCGAGTGCGTGGGTGCCGAGTGCGTGGGTGCCGAGTGCGGGGGTGCCGAGTGCGTGGGTTGCCGAGTGCGTGGGTGCCGAGTGCGTGGGTGCCGAGTGCGTGGGTGCCGAGTGCGTGGGTGCCGAGTGCGTGGGTGCCGAGTGCGTGGGTGCCGAGTGCGTGGGTGCCGAGTGCGTGGGTGCCGAGTGCGTGGGTGCCGAGTGCGTGGGTGCCGAGTGCGTGGGTGCCGAGTGCGTGGGTGCCGAGTGCGTGGGTGCCGAGTGCGTGGGTGCCGAGTGCGTGGGTGCCGAGTGCGTGGGTGCCGAGTGCGTGGGTGCCGAGTGCGTGGGTGCCGAGTGCGTGGGTGCCGAGTGCGTGGGTGCCGAGTGCGTGGGTTGCCGAGTGCGTGGTGCCGAGTGCGTGGGTGGCCGAGTGCGTGGGTGCCGAGTGCGTGGGTGCCGAGTGCGTGGGTGCCGAGTGCGTGGGGTGCCGAGTGCGTGGGTGCCGAGTGCGTGGTTGCCGAGTGCGTGGTGCCGAGTGCGTGGGTGCCGAGTGCGTGGGTGCCGAGTGCGTGGGTTGCCGAGTGCGTGGGTGCCGAGTGCGTGGGTGCCGAGTGCGTGGGTGCCGAGTGCGTGGGTGCCGAGTGCGTGGGTGCCGAGTGCGTGGGTGCCGAGTGCGTGGGTGCCGAGTGCGTGGGTGCCGAGTGCGTGGGTGCCGAGTGCGTGGTGCCGAGTGCGTGGGTGCCGAGTGCGTGGGTGCCGAGTGCGTGGGTGCCGAGTGCGTGGGTGCCGAGTGCGTGGTGCCGAGTGCGTGGGTGCCGAGTGCGTGGGTGCCGAGTGCGTGGGTGCCGAGTGCGTGGGTGCCGAGTGCGTGGGTGCCGAGTGCGTGGGTGCCGAGTGCGTGGGTGCCGAGTGCGTGGTGCCGAGTGCGTGGGTGCCGAGTGCGTGGGTGCCGAGTGCGTGGGTGGCCGAGTGCGTGGGTGCCGAGTGCGTGGGTGCCGAGTGCGTGGGTGCCGAGTGCGTGGGTGCCGAGTGCGTGGGTGCCGAGTGCGTGGGTGCCGAGTGCGTGGGTGCCGAGTGCGTGGGTGCCGAGTGCGTGGGTGCCGAGTGCGTGGGTGCCGAGTGCGTGGGTGCCGAGTGCGTGGGTGCCGAGTGCGTGGTGCCGAGTGCGTGGGTGCCGAGTGCGTGGGTGCCGAGTGCGTGGGTGCCGAGTGCGTGGGTGCCGAGTGCGTGGGTGCCGAGTGCGTGGGTGCCGAGTGCGTGGGTGCCGAGTGCGTGGGTGCCGAGTGCGTGGGTGCCGAGTGCGTGGGTGCCGAGTGCGTGGGTGCCGAGTGCGTGGGTGCCGAGTGCGTGGGTGCCGAGTGCGTGGGTGCCGAGTGCGTGGGTGCCGAGTGAGTGGGTGCCGAGTGCGTGGGTGCCGAGTGCGTGGGTGCCGAGTGCGTGGGTGCCGAGTGCGTGGGTGCCGAGTGCGTGGGTGCCGAGTGCGTGGGTGCCGAGTGCGTGGTGCCGGAGTGCGTGGGTGCCGAGTGCGTGGGTGCCGAGTGCGTGGGTTCCGAGTGCGTGGTGCCGAGTGCGTGGGTGCCGAGTGCGTGGGTGCCGGTGCGTGGGTGCCGAGTGCGTGGGTGCCGAGTGCGTGGGTGCCGAGTGCGTGGGTGCCGAGTGCGTGGGTGCCAGAGTGCGTGGAGTGCCGAGTGCGTGGGTGCCGAGTGCGTGGGTGCCGAGTGCGTGGGTGCCGAGTGCGTGGGGTGCCGAGTGCGTGGGTGCCGAGTGCGTGGGTGCCGAGTGCGTGGGTGCCGAGTGCGTGGGTGCCGAGTGCGTGGGTGCCGAGTGCGTGGGTGTGCCGAGTGCGGGGTGGCCGAGTGCGTGGGTGCCGAGTGGCGTGGTGCCGAGTGCGTGGGTGCCGAGTGCGTGGTGCCGAGTGCGTGTGTGCCGAGTGCGTGGGTGCCGAGTGCGTGGGTGCCGAGTGCGTGGGGTGCCGAGTGCGTGGGTGCCGAGTGCGTGGGTGCCGATGTGCGTGGGTGCCGAGTGCGTGGGTGCCGAGTGCGTGGTGGCCGAGTGGCGTGGGTGCCGAGTGCGTGGTTGCGCGAGTGCGTGGGTGCCGAGTGCGTGGGTTGCCGAGTGCGTGGGTGCCGAGTGCGTGGGTGCCGAGTGCGTGGGTTGCCGAGTGCGTGGGTGCCGAGTGCGTGGGTGCCGATGGTGCGTGGGTGCCGAGTGCGTGGGGTGCCGAGTGCGTGGGTGCCGAGTGCGTGGGGTGCCGAGTGCGTGGGTGCCGAGTGCGTGGGTGCCGAGTGCGTGGTGCCGAGTGCGTGGGTTGCCGAGTGCGTGGGTGCCGAGTGCGTGGGTGCCGAGTGCGTGGTTGCCGAGTGCGTTGGGTGCCGAGTGCGTGGGTTGCCGAGTGCGTGGGTGCCGAGTGCGTGGTTGCCGAGTGCGTGGGTGCCGAGTGCGTGGTTGCCGAGTGCGTGGGTGCCGAGTGCAGTGGGTGCCGAGTGCGTGGGTAGCCGAGTGCGTGGTGCCGAGTGCGTGTGCCGAGTGCGTGGGTGGCCGAGTGCGTGGTTGCCGATGCGTGGGTGCCGAGTGCGGGTGCCGAGTGCGTGGGTGCCGAGTGCGTGGTTGCCGAGTGCGTGGGTGCCGAGTGCGTGGTTGCCGAGTGCGTGGTGGCCGAGTGCGTGGGTGCCCGAGTGCGTGGTGCCGAGTGCGTGGGTGCCGAGTGCGTGGGTGCCGAGTGCGTGGTTGCCGAGTGCGTGGGTGCCGAGTGCGTGGGTGCCGAGTGCGTGGTTGCCGAGTGCGTGGTTGCCGAGTGCGTGGTTGCCGAGTGCGTGGGTGCCGAGTGCGTGGGTGCCGGTGCGTGGTTGCCGAGTGCGTGGTGCCGAGTGCGTGGGTGCCGAGTGCGTGGTTGCCGAGTGCGTGGTTGCCGAGTGCGTGGGTGCCGAGTGCGTGGTTGCCGAGTGCGTGGGTGCCGAGTGCGTGGGTGCCGAGTGCGTGGTTGCCGAGTGCGTGGTTGCCGAGTGCGTGGTTGCCGAGTGCGTGGTTGCCGAGTGCGTGGGTGCCGAGTGCGTGGGTGCCGAGTGCGTGGGTGGCCGAGTGCGTGGGTGCCGAGTGCGTGGGTGCCGAGTGCGTGGGTGCCGAGTGCGTGGTTGCCGAGTGCGTGGGTGCCGAGTGCGTGGGTGCCGAGTGCGTGGGTGCCGAGTGCGTGGGTGCCGAGTGCGTGGGTGCCGAGTGCGTGGTTGCCGAGTGCGTGGGTGCCGAGTGCGTGGGTGCCGAGTGCGTGGGTGCCGAGTGCGTGGGTTGCCGAGTGCGTGGTTGCCGAGTGCGTGGTTGCCGAGTGCGTGGTTGCCGAGTGGCGTGGTTGCCGAGTGCGTGGGTGCCGAGTGCGTGGGTGCCGAGTGCGTGGGTTGCCGAGTGCGTGGGTGCCGAGTGCGTGGTGCCGAGTGCGTGGGTGCCGAGTGCGTGGGTGCCGAGTGCGTGGGTGCCGAGTGCGTGGTGCCGAGTGCGTGGGTGCCGAGTGCGTGGGTGCCGAGTGCGTGGGTGCCGAGTGCGTGGGTGCCGAGTGCGTGGGTGCCGAGTGCGTGGTTGCCGAGTGCGTGGGTGCCGAGTGCGTGGTGCCGAGTGCGTGGTTGCCGAGTGCGTGGTTGCCGAGTGCGTGGGTGCCGAGTGCGTGGGTGCCGAGTGCGTGGGTGCCGAGTGCGTGGTTGCCGAGTGCGTGGGTGCCGAGTGCGTGGTTGCCGAGTGCGTGGTTGCCGAGTGCGTGGGTGCCGAGTGCGTGGGTGCCGAGTGCGTGGGTGCCGAGTGCGTGGTTGCCGAGTGCGTGGGTGCCGAGTGCGTGGTTGCCGAGTGCGTGGGTGCCGAGTGCGTGGTTGCCGAGTGCGTGGGTGCCGAGTGCGTGGTTGCCGAGTGCGTGGGTGCCGAGTGCGTGGGTGCCGAGTGCGTGGGTGCCGAGTGCGTGGGTGCCGAGTGCGTGGTTGCCGAGTGCGTGGGTGCCGAGTGCGTGGGTGCCGAGTGCGTGGGTGCCGAGTGCGTGGGTGCCGAGTGCGTGGTTGCCGAGTGCGTGGGTGCCGAGTTGCGTGGGTGCCGAGTGCGTGGGTGCCGAGTGCGTGGGTGCCGAGTGCGTGGGTGCCGAGTGCGTGGGTGCCGAGTGCGTGGTGCCGAGTGCGTGGGTGCCGAGTGCGTGGGTGCCGAGTGCGTGGGTGCCGAGTGCGTGGTTGCCGAGTGCGTGGGTGCCGAGTGCGTGGGTGCCGAGTGCGTGGGTGCCGAGTGCGTGGGTGCCAGAGTGCGTGGGTGCCGAGTGCGTGGGTGCCGAGTGCGTGGTTGCCGAGTGCGTGGGTGCCGAGTGCGTGGGTGCCGAGTGCGTGGGTGCCGAGTGCGTGGTTGCCGAGTGCGTGGGGGGGCCGTGGTGCCGAGTGCGTGGTGCCGAGTGCGTGGGTGCCGAGTGCGTGGGTTGCCGAGTGCGTGGTTGCCCGAGTGCGTGGTTGCCGAGTGCGTGGGTGCCGAGTGCGGGGGTGCCGAGTGCGTGGGTGCCGAGTGCGTGGGTGCCGAGTGCGTGGGTGCCGAGTGCGTGGGGTGCCGAGTGCGTGGGTGCCGAGTGCGTGGTTGCCGAGTGCCGTGGTGCCGAGTGCGTGGGTGCCGAGTGCGTGGGTGCCGAGTGCGTGGGTGCCGAGTGCGTGGTTGCCGAGTGCGTGGTTGCCGAGTGCGTGGTTGCCGAGTGCGTGGGTGCCGAGTGCGTGGGTTGCCGAGTGCGTGGGTGCCGAGTGCGTGGGTGCCGAGTGCGTGGGTGCCGAGTGCGTGGTTGCCGAGTGCGTGGGTGCCGAGTGCGTGGGTGCCGAGTGCGTGGTTGCCGAGTGCGTGGGTGCCGAGTGCGTGGGTGCCGAGTGCGTGGGTGCCGAGTGCGTGGTTGCCGAGTGCGTGGGTGCCGAGTGCGTGGGTGCCGAGTGCGTGGGTGCCGAGTGCGTGGTTGCCGAGTGCGTGGGTGCCGAGTGCGTGGGTGCCGAGTGCGTGGGTGCCGAGTGCGGGGGTGCCGAGTGCGTGGGTGCCGAGTGCGTGGGTGCCGAGTGCGTGGGTGCCAGTGCGTGGTTGCCGAGTGCGTGGGTGCCGAGTGCGTGGGTGCCGAGTGCGTGGGTGCCGAGTGCGTGGGTGCCGAGTGCGTGGTGCGAGTGCGTGGGTGGCCGAGTGCGTGGGTGCCGAGTGCGTGGGTGCCGAGTGCGTGGGTGCGCGAGTGCGTGGGTGCCGAGTGCGTGGGTGCCGAGTGCGTGGGTGCCGAGTGCGTGGGTGCCGAGTGCGTGGGTGCCGAGTGCGTGGGTGCCGAGTGCGTGGGTGCCGAGTGCGTGGGTGCGAGTGCGTGGGTCTTGTGCCGAGTGCGTGGGTGCCGAGTGCGTGGGTGCCGAGTGCGTGGGTGCCGAGTGCGTGGGTGCCGAGTGCGTGGGTGCCGAGTGCGTGGGTGCCGAGTGCGTGGGTGCCGAGTGCGTGGGTGCCGAGTGCGTGGGTGCCGAGTGCGTGGGTGCCGAGTGCGTGGGTGCCGAGTGCGTGGGTGCCGAGTGCGTGGGTGCCGAGTGCGTGGGTGCCGAGTGCGTGGGTGCCGAGTGCGTGGGGTGCCGAGTGCGTGGGTGCCGAGTGGCGTGGGTTGCCGAGTGCGTGGGTGCCGAGTGCGTGGGTGCCGAGTGCGTGGGTGCCGAGTGCGTGGGTGCCGAGTGCGTGGGTGCCGAGTGCGTGGGTGCCGAGTGCGTGGGTGCCGAGTGCGTGGGTGCCGAGTGCGTGGGTGCCGAGTGCGTGGGTGCCGAGTGCGTGGTTGCCGAGTGCGTGGGTGCCGAGTGCGTGGTTGCCGAGTGCGTGGGTGCCGAGTGCGTGGGTGCCCGAGTGCGTGGTGCCGAGTGCGTGGGTGCCGAGTGCGTGGGTGCCGGGAGTGCGTGGGTGCCGAGTGCGTGGGTGCCGAGTGCGTGGGTGCCGAGTGCGTGGGTGCCGAGTGCGTGGTGGCCGAGTGCGTGGGTGCCGAGTGCGTGGGGCCGAGTGCGTGGGTGCCGAGTGCGTGGGTGCCGAGTGCGTGGGTGCCGAGTGCGTGGTTGCCGAGTGCGTGGGTGCCGAGTGCGTGGGTGCCGAGTGCGTGGGTGCCGAGTGCGTGGGTGCCCGAGTGCGTGGGTGCCGAGTGCGTGGTTGCCGAGTGCGTGGGTGCCGAGTGCGTGGGTGCCGAGTGCGTGGTTGCCGAGTGCGTGGGTGCCGAGTGCGTGGGTGCCGAGTGCGTGGTTGCCGAGTGCGTGGGTGCCGAGTGCGTGGTTGCCGAGTGCGTGGTTGCCGAGTCGTGGGTGCCGAGTGCGTGGGTGCCGAGTGCGTGGGTGCCGAGTGCGGGGTTGCCGAGTGCGTGGGTGCCGAGTGCGTGGTGCCGAGTGCGTGGGTGCCGAGTGCGTGGGTGCCGAGTGCGTGGGTGCCGAGTGCGTGGGTGCCGAGTGCGTGGGTGCCGAGTGCGTGGGTGCCGAGTGCGTGGTTGCCGAGTGCGTGGGTGCCGAGTGCGTGGTTGCCGAGTGCGTGGGTGCCGAGTGCGTGGGTTGCCGAGTGCGTGGTTGCCGAGTGCGTGGGTGCCGAGTGCGTGGTTGCCGGAGTGCGTGGGTGCCGAGTGCGTGGGTGCCGAGTGCGTGGGTGCCGAGTGCGTGGGTGCCGAGTGCGTGGTTGCCGAGTGCGTGGGTGCCGAGTGCGTGGTGCCGAGTGCGTGGTTGCCGAGTGGCGTGGGTGCCGAGTGCGTGGTTGCCGAGTGCGTGGGTGCCGAGTGCGTGGTTGCCGAGTGCGTGGGTTGCCGAGTGCGTGGGTTGCCGAGTGCGTGGGTGCCGAGTGCGTGGGTGCCGAGTGCGTGGGTGCCGAGTGCGTGGGTGCCGAGTGCGTGGGTGCCGAGTGCGTGGGTGCCGAGTGCGTGGGTGCCGAGTGCGTGGGTGCCGAGTGCGTGGTTGCCGAGTGCGTGGTTGCCGAGTGCGTGGGTGCCGAGTGCGTGGTTGCCGAGTGCGTGGTTGCCGAGTGCGTGGTTGCCGAGTGCGTGGTTGCCGAGTGCGTGGTTGCCGAGTGCGTGGTTGCCGAGTGCGTGGGTGCCGAGTGCGTGGGTGCCGAGTGCGTGGTTGCCGAGTGCGTGGTTGCCGAGTGCGTGGGTGCCGAGTGCGTGGGTGCCGAGTGCGTGGGTGCCGAGTGCGTGGGTGCCGAGTGCGTGGGTGCCGAGTGCGTGGGTGCCGAGTGCGTGGGTGCCGAGTGCGTGGTTGCCGAGTGCGTGGTTGCCGAGTGCGTGGGTGCCGAGTGCGTGGGTGCCGAGTGCGTGGGTGCCGAGTGCGTGGGTGCCGAGTGCGTGGGTGCCGAGTGCGTGGGTGCCGAGTGCGTGGGTGCCGAGTGCGTGGGTGCGAGTGCGTGGGTGCCGAGTGCGTGGGTGCCGAGTGCGTGGTTGCCGAGTGCGTGGGTTCCGAGTGCGTGGTTGCCGAGTGCGTGGGTGCCGAGTGCGTGGTTGCCGAGTGCGTGGGTGCCGAGTGCGTGGTTGCCGAGTGCGTGGGTGCCGAGTGCGTGGGTGCCGAGTGCGTGGGTGCCGAGTGCGTGGTTGCCGAGTGCGTGGGTGCCGAGTGCGTGGGTGCCGAGTGCGTGGGTGCCGAGTGCGTGGGTGCCGAGTGCGTGGTTGCCGAGTGCGTGGGTGCCGAGTGCGTGGGTGCCGAGTGCGTGGGTGCCGAGTGCGTGGGTGCCGAGTGCGTGGTTGCCGAGTGCGTGGTTGCCGAGTGCGTGGGGTGCCGAGTGCGTGGGTGCCGAGTGCGTGGTTGCCGAGTGCGTGGGTGCCGAGTGCGTGGTTGCCGAGTGCGTGGTTGCCGAGTGCGTGGTTGCCGAGTGCGTGTTGCCGAGTGCGTGGTTGCCGAGTGCGTGGGTGCCGAGTGCGTGGGTGCCGAGTGCGTGGGTGCCGAGTGCGTGGGTGCCGAGTGCGTGGTTGCCGAGTGCGTGGTTGCCGAGTGCGTGGTTGCCGAGTGCGTGGGTGCCGAGTGCGTGGGTGCCGAGTGCGTGGGTGCCGAGTGCGTGGTTGCCGAGTGCGTGGTTGCCGAGTGCGTGGGTGCCGAGTGCGTGGTTGCCGAGTGCGTGGGTGCCGAGTGCGTGGTTGCCGAGTGCGTGGGTGCCGAGTGCGTGGGTGCCGAGTGCGTGGTTGCCGAGTGCGTGGTTGCCGAGTGCGTGGTTGCCGAGTGCGTGGGTGCCGAGTGCGTGGTTGCCGAGTGCGTGGTTGCCGAGTGCGTGGTTGCCGAGTGCGTGGGTGCCGAGTGCGTGGGTGCCGAGTGCGTGGGTGCCGAGTGCGTGGTTGCCGAGTGCGTGGGTGCCGAGTGCGTGGGTGCCGAGTGCGTGGAGTGCGTGGGTGCCGAGTGCGTGGTTGCCGAGTGCGTGGGTGCCGAGTGCGTGGTTGCCGAGTGCGTGGGTGCCGAGTGCGTGGGTGCCGAGTGCGTGGTTGCCGAGTGCGTGGGTGCCGAGTGCGTGGTTGCCGAGTGCGTGGTTGCCGAGTGCGTGGTTGCCGAGTGCGTGGGTGCCGAGTGCGTGGGTGCCGAGTGCGTGGGTGCCGAGTGCGTGGTTGCCGAGTGCGTGGGTGCCGAGTGCGTGGTTGCCGAGTGCGTGGTTGCCGAGTGCGTGGTTGCCGAGTGCGTGGGTGCCGAGTGCGTGGTTGCCGAGTGCGTGGGTGCCGAGTGCGTGGTTGCCGAGTGCGTGGTTGCCGAGTGCGTGGGTGCCGAGTGCGTGGGTGCCGAGTGCGTGGGTGCCGAGTGCGTGGTTGCCGAGTGCGTGGGTGCCGAGTGCGTGGGTGCCGAGTGCGTGGGGTGCCGAGTGCGTGGGTGCCGAGTGCGTGGTTGCCGAGTGCGTGGTTGCCGAGTGCGTGGGTGCCGAGTGCGTGGGTACCGAGTGCGTGGTTGCCGAGTGCGTGGGTGCCGAGTGCGTGGTTGCCGAGTGCGTGGTTGCCGAGTGCGTGGTTGCCGAGTGCGTGGTTGCCGAGTGCGTGGTTGCCGAGTGCGTGGGTGCCGAGTGCGTGGGTGCCGAGTGCGTGGGTGCCGAGTGCGTGGGTGCCGAGTGCGTGGTTGCCGAGTGCGTGGTTGCCGAGTGCGTGGTTGCCGAGTGCGTGGTTGCCGAGTGCGTGGGTGCCGAGTGCGTGGGTGCCGAGTGCGTGGGTGCCGAGTGCGTGGTTGCCGAGTGCGTGGTTGCCGAGTGCGTGGTTGCCGAGTGCGTGGGTGCCGAGTGCGTGGGTGCCGAGTGCGTGGGTGCCGAGTGCGTGGGTGCCGAGTGCGTGGGTGCCGAGTGCGTGGGTGCCGAGTGCGTGGTTGCCGAGTGCGTGGTTGCCGAGTGCGTGGGTGCCGAGTGCGTGGGTGCCGAGTGCGTGGTTGCCGAGTGCGTGGTTGCCGAGTGCGTGGTTGCCGAGTGCGTGGTTGCCGAGTGCGTGGTTGCCGAGTGCGTGGGTGCCGAGTGCGTGGGTGCCGAGTGCGTGGGTGCCGAGTGCGTGGTTGCCGAGTGCGTGGGTGCCGAGTGCGTGGGTGCCGAGTGCGTGGTTGCCGAGTGCGTGGTTGCCGAGTGCGTGGTTGCCGAGTGCGTGGTTGCCGAGTGCGTGGGTGCCGAGTGCGTGGGTGCCGAGTGCGTGGGTGCCGAGTGCGTGGGTGCCGAGTGCGTGGGTGCCGAGTGCATGGGTGCCGAGTGCGTGGTTGCCGAGTGCGTGGTTGCCGAGTGCGTGGTTGCCGAGTGCGTGGGTGCCGAGTGCGTGGGTGCCGAGTGCGTGGTTGCCGAGTGCGTGGTTGCCGAGTGCGTGGTTGCCGAGTGCGTGGTTGCCGAGTGCGTGGTTGCCGAGTGCGTGGGTGCCGAGTGCGTGGGTGCCGAGTGCGTGGGTGCCGAGTGCGTGGTTGCCGAGTGCGTGGGTGCCGAGTGCGTGGGTGCCGAGTGCGTGGGTGCCGAGTGCGTGGGTTGCCGAGTGCGTGGTTGCCGAGTGCGTGGGGTGCCCGAGTGCGTGGGTGCCGAGTGCGTGGGTGCCGAGTGCGTGGTTGCCGAGTGCGTGGGTGCCGAGTGCGTGGTTGCCGAGTGCGTGGTTGCCGAGTGCGTGGGTGCCGAGTGCGTGGGTGCCGAGTGCGTGGTTGCCGAGTGCGTGGGTGCCGAGTGCGTGGGTTGCCGAGTGCGTGGTTGCCGAGTGCGTGGTTGCCGAGTGCGTGGTTGCCGAGTGCGTGGTTGCCGAGTGCGTGGTTGCCGAGTGCGTGGGTGCCGAGTGCGTGGGTGCCGAGTGCGTGGGTGCCGAGTGCGTGGTTGCCGAGTGCGTGGTTGCCGAGTGCGTGGGTGCCGAGTGCGTGGGTGCCGAGTGCGTGGGTGCCGAGTGCGTGGTTGCCGAGTGCGTGGGTGCCGAGTGCGTGGGTGCCGAGTGCGTGGTTGCCGAGTGCGTGGTTGCCGAGTGCGTGGTTGCCGAGTGCGTGGGTGCCGAGTGCGTGGTTGCCGAGTGCGTGGTTGCCGAGTGCGTGGTTGCCGAGTGCGTGGGTGCCGAGTGCGTGGGTGCCGAGTGCGTGGTTGCCGAGTGCGTGGGTGCCGAGTGCGTGGGTGCCGAGTGCGTGGGTGCCGAGTGCGTGGTTTGCCGAGTGCGTGGGTGCCGAGTGCGTGGTTGCCGAGTGCGTGGTTGCCGAGTGCGTGGGTGCCGAGTGCGTGGGTGCCGAGTGCGTGGGTGCCGAGTGCGTGGGTGCCGAGTGCGTGGTTGCCGAGTGCGTGGGTGCCGAGTGCGTGGTTGCCGAGTGCGTGGTTGCCGAGTGCGTGGTTGCCGAGTGCGTGGGTGCCGAGTGCGTGGGTGCCGAGTGCGTGGTTGCCGAGTGCGTGGGTGCCGAGTGCGTGGTTGCCGAGTGCGTGGGTGCCGAGTGCGTGGGTTGCCGAGTGCGTGGGTGCCGAGTGCGTGGTTGCCGAGTGCGTGGTTGCCGAGTGCGTGGGTGCCGAGTGCGTGGGTGCCGAGTGCGTGGGTGCCGAGTGCGTGGTTGCCGAGTGCGTGGGTGCCGAGTGCGTGGGTGCCGAGTGCGTGGGTGCCGAGTGCGTGGGTGCCGAGTGCGTGGGTGCCGAGTGCGTGGGTGCCGAGTGCGTGGGTGCCGAGTGCGTGGGTGCCGAGTGCGTGGTTGCCGAGTGCGTGGGTGCCGAGTGCGTGGTTGCCGAGTGCGTGGTTGCCGAGTGCGTGGGTGCCGAGTGCGTGGTTGCCGAGTGCGTGGGTGCCGAGTGCGTGGTTGCCGAGTGCGTGGGTGCCGAGTGCGTGGGTGCCGAGTGCGTGGTTGCCGAGTGCGTGGGTGCCGAGTGCGTGGTTGCCGAGTGCGTGGGTGCCGAGTGCGTGGTTGCCGAGTGCGTGGGTGCCGAGTGCGTGGTTGCCGAGTGCGTGGTTGCCGAGTGCGTGCCGAGTGCGTGGGTGCCGAGTGCGTGGGTGCCGAGTGCGTGGGTGCCGAGTGCGTGGGTGCCGAGTGCGTGGGTGCCGAGTGCGTGGGTGCCGAGTGCGTGGGTGCCGAGTGCGTGGTTGCCGAGTGCGTGGGTGCCGAGTGCGTGGTTGCCGAGTGCGTGGGTGCCGAGTGCGTGGGTGCCGAGTGCGTGGTTGCCGAGTGCGTGGTTGCCGAGTGCGTGGTTGCCGAGTGCGTGGTTGCCGAGTGCGTGGGTGCCGAGTGCGTGGGTGCCGAGTGCGTGGTTGCCGAGTGCGTGGTTGCCGAGTGCGGTGGGTGCCGAGTGCGTGGGTGCCGAGTGCGTGGGTGCCGAGTGCGTGGGTGCCGAGTGCGTGGGTGCCGAGTGCGTGGGTGCCGAGTGCGTGGTTGCCGAGTGCGTGGGTGCCGAGTGCGTGGTTGCCGAGTGCGTGGTTGCCGAGTGCGTGGGTGCCGAGTGCGTGGGGCGTGGGTGCCGAGTGCGTGGTTGCCGAGTGCGTGGGTGCCGAGTGCGTGGTTGCCGAGTGCGTGGGTGCCGAGTGCGTGGTTGCCGAGTGCGTGGTTGCCGAGTGCGTGGTTGCCGAGTGCGTGGGGTGCCGAGTGCGTGGGTGCCGAGTGCGTGGTTGCCGAGTGCGTGGGTGCCGAGTGCGTGGTTGCCGAGTGCGTGGGTGCCGAGTGCGTGGTTGCCGAGTGCGTGGTTGCCGAGTGCGTGGGTGCCGAGTGCGTGGGTGCCGAGTGCGTGGGTGCCGAGTGCGTGGTTGCCGAGTGCGTGGGTGCCGAGTGCGTGGGTGCCGAGTGCGTGGGTGCCGAGTGCGTGGGTGCCGAGTGCGTGGTTGCCGAGTGCGTGGTTGCCGAGTGCGTGGGTGCCGAGTGCGTGGGTGCCGAGTGCGTGGTTGCCGAGTGCGTGGTGCCGAGTGCGTGGTTGCCGAGTGCGTGGTTGCCGAGTGCGTGGTTGCCGAGTGCGTGGTTGCCGAGTGCGTGGTTGCGAGTGCGTGGGTGCCGAGTGCGTGGGTGCCGAGTGCGTGGGTGCCGAGTGCGTGGGTGCCGAGTGCGTGGGTGCCGAGTGCGTGGTTGCCGAGTGCGTGGTTGCCGAGTGCGTGGTTGCCGAGTGCGTGTTGCCGAGTGCGTGGGTGCCGAGTGCGTGGGTGCCGAGTGCGTGGGTGCCGAGTGCGTGGTTGCCGAGTGCGTGGTTGCCGAGTGCGTGGGTGCCGAGTGCGTGGTTGCCGAGTGCGTGGGTGCCGAGTGCGTGGTTGCCGAGTGCGTGGGTGCCGAGTGCGTGGGTGCCGAGTGCGTGGTTGCCGAGTGCGTGGTTGCCGAGTGCGTGGTTGCCGAGTGCGTGGGTGCCGAGTGCGTGGTTGCCGAGTGCGTGGTTGCCGAGTGCGTGGGTGCCGAGTGCGTGGGTGCCGAGTGCGTGGTTGCCGAGTGCGTGGGTGCCGAGTGCGTGGGTGCCGAGTGCGTGGGTGCCGAGTGCGTGGTTGCCGAGTGCGTGGTTGCCGAGTGCGTGGGTGCCGAGTGCGTGGTTGCCGAGTGCGTGGGTGCCGAGTGCGTGGGTGCCGAGTGCGTGGGTGCCGAGTGCGTGGTTGCCGAGTGCGTGGTTGCCGAGTGCGTGGTTGCCGAGTGCGTGGGTGCCGAGTGCGTGGTTGCCGAGTGCGTGGGTGCCGAGTGCGTGGTTGCCGAGTGCGTGGGTGCCGAGTGCGTGGTTGCCGAGTGCGTGGTTGCCGAGTGCGTGGTTGCCGAGTGCGTGGGTGCCGAGTGCGTGGGTGCCGAGTGCGTGGGTGCCGAGTGCGTGGGTGCCGAGTGCGTGGTTGCCGAGTGCGTGGTTGCCGAGTGCGTGGGTGCCGAGTGCGTGGTTGCCGAGTGCGTGGTTGCCGAGTGCGTGGTTGCCGAGTGCGTGGGTGCCGAGTGCGTGGGTGCCGAGTGCGTGGTTGCCGAGTGCGTGGTTGCCGAGTGCGTGGTTGCCGAGTGCGTGGGTGCCGAGTGCGTGGTTGCCGAGTGCGTGGTTGCTGAGTGCGTGGGTGCCGAGTGCGTGGGTGCCGAGTGCGTGGGTGCCGAGTGCGTGGGTGCCGAGTGCGTGGGTGCCGAGTGCGTGGGTGCCGAGTGCGTGGGTGCCGAGTGCGTGGGTGCCGAGTGCGTGGGTGCCGAGTGCGTGGTTGCCGAGTGCGTGGGTGCCGAGTGCGTGGTTGCCGAGTGCGTGGTGCCGAGTGCGTGGGTGCCGAGTGCGTGGTTGCCTTGTGCGTGGGTGCCGAGTGCGTGGGTGCCGAGTGCGTGGGTGCCGAGTGCGTGGTTGCCGAGTGCGTGGTTGCCGAGTGCGTGGTTGCCGAGTGCGTGGTTGCCGAGTGCGTGGGTGCCGAGTGCGTGGGTGCCGAGTGCGTGGGTGCCGAGTGCGTGGGTGCCGAGTGCGTGGGTGCCGAGTGCATGGGTGCCGAGTGCGTGGTTGCCGAGTGCGTGGTTGCCGAGTGCGTGGGTGCCGAGTGCGTGGGTGCCGAGTGCGTGGTTGCCGAGTGCGTGGTTGCCGAGTGCGTGGTTGCCGAGTGCGTGGTTGCCGAGTGCGTGGGTGCCGAGTGCGTGGGTGCCGAGTGCGTGGGTGCCGAGTGCGTGGGTGCCGAGTGCGTGGTTGCCGAGTGCGTGGGTGCCGAGTGCGTGGGTGCCGAGTGCGTGGGTGCCGAGTGCGTGGTTGCCGAGTGCGTGGGTTGCCGAGTGCGTGGTTGCCGAGTGCGTGGGTGCCGAGTGCGTGGGTGCCGAGTGCGTGGTTGCCGAGTGCGTGGGTGCCGAGTGCGTGGTTGCCGAGTGCGTGGTTGCCGAGTGCGTGGGTGCCGAGTGCGTGGGTGCCGAGTGCGTGGTTGCCGAGTGCGTGGGTGCCGAGTGCGTGGTTGCCGAGTGCGTGGTTGCCGAGTGCGTGGTTGCCGAGTGCGTGGTTGCCGAGTGCGTGGTTGCCGAGTGCGTGGGTGCCGAGTGCGTGGGTGCCGAGTGCGTGGTGCGTGGGTTGCCGAGTGCGTGGTTGCCGAGTGCGTGGGTGCCGAGTGCGTGGGTGCCGAGTGCGTGGGTGCCGAGTGCGTGGTTGCCGAGTGCGTGGGTGCCGAGTGCGTGGGTGCCGAGTGCGTGGTTGCCGAGTGCGTGGTTGCCGAGTGCGTGGTTGCCGAGTGCGTGGGTGCCGAGTGCGTGGTTGCCGAGTGCGTGGTTGCCGAGTGCGTGGTTGCGGAGTGCGTGGGTGCCGAGTGCGTGGGTGCCGAGTGCGTGGTTGCCGAGTGCGTGGGTGCCGAGTGCGTGGGTGCCGAGTGCGTGGGTGCCGAGTGCGTGGTTGCCGAGTGCGTGGGTGCCGAGTGCGTGGTTGCCGAGTGCGTGGTTGCCGAGTGCGTGGGTGCCGAGTGCGTGGGTGCCGAGTGCGTGGGTGCCGAGTGCGTGGGTGCCGAGTGCGTGGTTGCCGAGTGCGTGGGTGCCGAGTGCGTGGTTGCCGAGTGCGTGGTTGCCGAGTGCGTGGTTGCCGAGTGCGTGGGTGCCGAGTGCGTGGGTGCCGAGTGCGTGGTTGCCGAGTGCGTGGGTGCCGAGTGCGTGGTTGCCGAGTGCGTGGGTGCCGAGTGCGTGGTTGCCGAGTGCGTGGGTGCCGAGTGCGTGGTGCCGAGTGCGTGGTTGCCGAGTGCGTGGGTGCCGAGTGCGTGGGTGCCGAGTGCGTGGGTGCCGAGTGCGTGGTTGCCGAGTGCGTGGGTGCCGAGTGCGTGGGTGCCGAGTGCGTGGGTGCCGAGTGCGTGGGTGCCGAGTGCGTGGGTGCCGAGTGCGTGGGTGCCGAGTGCGTGGTTGCCGAGTGCGTGGGTGCCGAGTGCGTGGGTGCCGAGTGCGTGGGTGCCGAGTGCGTGGGTGCCGAGTGCGTGGTTGCCGAGTGCGTGGGTGCCGAGTGCGTGGTTGCCGAGTGCGTGGGTGCCGAGTGCGTGGTTGCCGAGTGCGTGGGTGCCGAGTGCGTGGGTGCCGAGTGCCGAGTGCGTGGTTGCCGAGTGCGTGGGTGCCGAGTGCGTGGTTGCCGAGTGCGTGGGTGCCGAGTGCGTGGTTGCCGAGTGCGTGGGTGCCGAGTGCGTGGGTGCCGAGTGCGTGGTTGCCGAGTGCGTGGGTGCCGAGTGCGTGGGTGCCGAGTGCGTGGGTGCCGAGTGCGTGGGTGCCGAGTGCGTGGGTGCCGAGTGCGTGGGTGCCGAGTGCGTGGGTGCCGAGTGCGTGGGTGCCGAGTGCGTGGTTGCCGAGTGCGTGGGTGCCGAGTGCGTGGGTGCCGAGTGCGTGGGTGCCGAGTGCGTGGTTGCCGAGTGCGTGGTTGCCGAGTGCGTGGTTGCCGAGTGCGTGGTTGCCGAGTGCGTGGGTGCCGAGTGCGTGGGTGCCGAGTGCGTGGTTGCCGAGTGCGTGGTTGCCGAGTGCGTGGGTGCCGAGTGCGTGGGTGCCGAGTGCGTGGGTGCCGAGTGCGTGGGTGCCGAGTGCGTGGGTGCCGAGTGCGTGGGTGCCGAGTGCGTGGTTGCCGAGTGCGTGGGTGCCGAGTGCGTGGTTGCCGAGTGCGTGGTTGCCGAGTGCGTGGGTGCCGAGTGCGTGGGTGCCGAGTGCGTGGTTGCCGAGTGCGTGGGTGCCGAGTGCGTGGTTGCCGAGTGCGTGGGTGCCGAGTGCGTGGTTGCCGAGTGCGTGGTTGCCGAGTGCGTGGTTGCCGAGTGCGTGGGTGCCGAGTGCGTGGGTGCCGAGTGCGTGGTTGCCGAGTGCGTGGGTGCCGAGTGCGTGGTTGCCGAGTGCGTGGGTGCCGAGTGCGTGGTTGCCGAGTGCGTGGGTGCCGAGTGCGTGGTTGCCGAGTGCGTGGTTGCCGAGTGCGTGGGTGCCGAGTGCGTGGGTGCCGAGTGCGTGGGTGCCGAGTGCGTGGTTGCCGAGTGCGTGGGTGCCGAGTGCGTGGGTGCCGAGTGCGTGGGTGCCGAGTGCGTGGGTGCCGAGTGCGTGGGTGCCGAGTGCGTGGTTGCCGAGTGCGTGGTTGCCGAGTGCGTGGGTGCCGAGTGCGTGGGTGCCGAGTGCGTGGTTGCCGAGTGCGTGGGTGCCGAGTGCGTGGTTGCCGAGTGCGTGGTTGCCGAGTGCGTGGTTGCCGAGTGCGTGGTTGCCGAGTGCGTGGTTGCCGAGTGCGTGGGTGCCGAGTGCGTGGGTGCCGAGTGCGTGGGTGCCGAGTGCGTGGGTGCCGAGTGCGTGGTTGCCGAGTGCGTGGTTGCCGAGTGCGTGGTTGCCGAGTGCGTGGTTGCCGAGTGCGTGGGTGCCGAGTGCGTGGGTGCCGAGTGCGTGGGTGCCGAGTGCGTGGTTGCCGAGTGCGTGGTTGCCGAGTGCGTGGGTGCCGAGTGCGTGGGTTGCCGAGTGCGTGGGTGCCGAGTGCGTGGTGCCGAGTGCGTGGGTGCCGAGTGCGTGGGTGCCGAGTGCGTGGGTTGCCGAGTGCGTGGTTGCCGAGTGCGTGGTTGCCGAGTGCGTGGGTGCCGAGTGCGTGGTTGCCGAGTGCGTGGTTGCCGAGTGCGTGGGTGCCGAGTGCGTGGGTGCCGAGTGCGTGGTTGCCGAGTGCGTGGGTGCCGAGTGCGTGGGTGCCGAGTGCGTGGGTGCCGAGTGCGTGGTTGCCGAGTGCGTGGTTGCCGAGTGCGTGGGTGCCGAGTGCGTGGTTGCCGAGTGCGTGGGTGCCGAGTGCGTGGGTGCCGAGTGCGTGGGTGCCGAGTGCGTGGTTGCCGAGTGCGTGGTTGCCGAGTGCGTGGTTGCCGAGTGCGTGGGTGCCGAGTGCGTGGTTGCCGAGTGCGTGGGTGCCGAGTGCGTGGTTGCCGAGTGCGTGGGTGCCGAGTGCGTGGTTGCCGAGTGCGTGGTTGCCGAGTGCGTGGTTGCCGAGTGCGTGGTTGCCGAGTGCGTGGGTGCCGAGTGCGTGGGTGCCGAGTGCGTGGGTGCCGAGTGCGTGGGTGCCGAGTGCGTGGTTGCCGAGTGCGTGGTTGCCGAGTGCGTGGGTGCCGAGTGCGTGGTTGCCGAGTGCGTGGTTGCCGAGTGCGTGGTTGCCGAGTGCGTGGGTGCCGAGTGCGTGGGTGCCGAGTGCGTGGTTGCCGAGTGCGTGGTTGCCGAGTGCGTGGTTGCCGAGTGCGTGGGTGCCGAGTGCGTGGTTGCCGAGTGCGTGGTTGCTGAGTGCGTGGGTGCCGAGTGCGTGGGTGCCGAGTGCGTGGGTGCCGAGTGCGTGGGTGCCGAGTGCGTGGGTGCCGAGTGCGTGGGTGCCGAGTGCGTGGGTGCCGAGTGCGTGGGTGCCGAGTGCGTGGGTGCCGAGTGCGTGGTTGCCGAGTGCGTGGGTGCCGAGTGCGTGGTTGCCGAGTGCGTGGTGCCGAGTGCGTGGGTGCCGAGTGCGTGGTTGCCTTGTGCGTGGTTGCCGAGTGCGTGGTTGCCGAGTGCGTGGGTGCCGAGTGCGTGGGTGCCGAGTGCGTGGTTGCCGAGTGCGTGGGTGCCGAGTGCGTGGTTGCCGAGTGCGTGGGTGCCGAGTGCGTGGTTGCCGAGTGCGTGGGTGCCGAGTGCGTGGTTGCCGAGTGCGTGGTTGCCGAGTGCGTGGGTGCCGAGTGCGTGGGTGCCGAGTGCGTGGGTGCCGAGTGCGTGGTTGCCGAGTGCGTGGGTGCCGAGTGCGTGGGTGCCGAGTGCGTGGGTGCCGAGTGCGTGGGTGCCGAGTGCGTGGGTGCCGAGTGCGTGGGTGCCGAGTGCGTGGTTGCCGAGTGCGTGGGTGCCGAGTGCGTGGTTGCCGAGTGCGTGGGTGCCGAGTGCGTGGTTGCCGAGTGCGTGGTTGCCGAGTGCGTGGGTGCCGAGTGCGTGGTTGCCGAGTGCGTGGGTGCCGAGTGCGTGGTTGCCGAGTGCGTGGGTGCCGAGTGCGTGGGTGCCGAGTGCGTGGTTGCCGAGTGCGTGGGTGCCGAGTGCGTGGTTGCCGAGTGCGTGGGTGCCGAGTGCGTGGTTGCCGAGTGCGTGGTTGCCGAGTGCGTGGGTGCCGAGTGCGTGGTTGCCGAGTGCGTGGTGCCGAGTGCGTGGGTGCCGAGTGCGTGGGTGCCGAGTGCGTGGGTGCCGAGTGCGTGGGTGCCGAGTGCGTGGGTGCCGAGTGCGTGGGTGCCGAGTGCGTGGGTGCCGAGTGCGTGGGTGCCGAGTGCGTGGTTGCCGAGTGCGTGGGTGCCGAGTGCGTGGTTGCCGAGTGCGTGGTTGCCGAGTGCGTGGTTGCCGAGTGCGTGGGTGCCGAGTGCGTGGTTGCCGAGTGCGTGGTTGCCGAGTGCGTGGGTGCCGAGTGCGTGGGTGCCGAGTGCGTGGGTGCCGAGTGCGTGGTTGCCGAGTGCGTGGGTGCCGAGTGCGTGGGTGCCGAGTGCGTGGGTGCCGAGTGCGTGGGTGCCGAGTGCGTGGGTGCCGAGTGCGTGGTTGCCGAGTGCGTGGTTGCCGAGTGCGTGGTTGCCGAGTGCGTGGGTGCCGAGTGCGTGGTTGCCGAGTGCGTGGGTGCCGAGTGCGTGGGTGCCGAGTGCGTGGTTGCCGAGTGCGTGGTTGCCGAGTGCGTGGTTGCCGAGTGCGTGGGTGCCGAGTGCGTGGTTGCCGAGTGCGTGGTTGCCGAGTGCGTGGGTGCCGAGTGCGTGGGTGCCGAGTGCGTGGTTGCCGAGTGCGTGGGTGCCGAGTGCGTGGGTGCCGAGTGCGTGGGTGCCGAGTGCGTGGTTGCCGAGTGCGTGGTTGCCGAGTGCGTGGGTGCCGAGTGCGTGGTTGCCGAGTGCGTGGGTGCCGAGTGCGTGGGTGCCGAGTGCGTGGGTGCCGAGTGCGTGGGTGCCGAGTGCGTGGTTGCCGAGTGCGTGGTTGCCGAGTGCGTGGTTGCCGAGTGCGTGGGTGCCGAGTGCGTGGTTGCCGAGTGCGTGGGTGCCGAGTGCGTGGTTGCCGAGTGCGTGGGTGCCGAGTGCGTGGTTGCCGAGTGCGTGGTTGCCGAGTGCGTGGTTGCCGAGTGCGTGGGTGCCGAGTGCGTGGGTGCCGAGTGCGTGGGTGCCGAGTGCGTGGGTGCCGAGTGCGTGGTTGCCGAGTGCGTGGTTGCCGAGTGCGTGGGTGCCGAGTGCGTGGTTGCCGAGTGCGTGGTTGCCGAGTGCGTGGTTGCCGAGTGCGTGGGTGCCGAGTGCGTGGGTGCCGAGTGCGTGGGTGCCGAGTGCGTGGTTGCCGAGTGCGTGGTTGCCGAGTGCGTGGTTGCCGAGTGCGTGGGTGCCGAGTGCGTGGTTGCCGAGTGCGTGGTTGCTGAGTGCGTGGGTGCCGAGTGCGTGGGTGCCGAGTGCGTGGGTGCCGAGTGCGTGGGTGCCGAGTGCGTGGGTGCCGAGTGCGTGGGTGCCGAGTGCGTGGGTGCCGAGTGCGTGGGTGCCGAGTGCGTGGTTGCCGAGTGCGTGGGTGCCGAGTGCGTGGTTGCCGAGTGCGTGGTGCCGAGTGCGTGGGTGCCGAGTGCGTGGTTGCCTTGTGCGTGGTTGCCGAGTGCGTGGTTGCCGAGTGCGTGGGTGCCGAGTGCGTGGGTGCCGAGTGCGTGGTTGCCGAGTGCGTGGGTGCCGAGTGCGTGGTTGCCGAGTGCGTGGGTGCCGAGTGCGTGGTTGCCGAGTGCGTGGGTGCCGAGTGCGTGGTTGCCGAGTGCGTGGTTGCCGAGTGCGTGGGTGCCGAGTGCGTGGGTGCCGAGTGCGTGGGTGCCGAGTGCGTGGTTGCCGAGTGCGTGGTTGCCGAGTGCGTGGTTGCCGAGTGCGTGGGTGCCGAGTGCGTGGTTGCCGAGTGCGTGGGTGCCGAGTGCGTGGTTGCCGAGTGCGTGGGTGCCGAGTGCGTGGTTGCCGAGTGCGTGGTTGCCGAGTGCGTGGTTGCCGAGTGCGTGGGTGCCGAGTGCGTGGGTGCCGAGTGCGTGGTTGCCGAGTGCGTGGGTGCCGAGTGCGTGGTTGCCGAGTGCGTGGGTGCCGAGTGCGTGGTTGCCGAGTGCGTGGGTGCCGAGTGCGTGGTTGCCGAGTGCGTGGTTGCCGAGTGCGTGGGTGCCGAGTGCGTGGGTGCCGAGTGCGTGGGTGCCGAGTGCGTGGTTGCCGAGTGCGTGGGTGCCGAGTGCGTGGGTGCCGAGTGCGTGGGTGCCGAGTGCGTGGGTGCCGAGTGCGTGGTTGCCGAGTGCGTGGTTGCCGAGTGCGTGGGTGCCGAGTGCGTGGGTGCCGAGTGCGTGGTTGCCGAGTGCGTGGGTGCCGAGTGCGTGGTTGCCGAGTGCGTGGTTGCCGAGTGCGTGGTTGCCGAGTGCGTGGTTGCCGAGTGCGTGGTTGCCGAGTGCGTGGGTGCCGAGTGCGTGGGTGCCGAGTGCGTGGGTGCCGAGTGCGTGGGTGCCGAGTGCGTGGTTGCCGAGTGCGTGGTTGCCGAGTGCGTGGTTGCCGAGTGCGTGGTTGCCGAGTGCGTGGGTGCCGAGTGCGTGGGTGCCGAGTGCGTGGGTGCCGAGTGCGTGGTTGCCGAGTGCGTGGTTGCCGAGTGCGTGGGTGCCGAGTGCGTGGTTGCCGAGTGCGTGGTGCCGAGTGCGTGGGTGCCGAGTGCGTGGGTGCCGAGTGCGTGGTTGCCGAGTGCGTGGTGTGCCGAGTGCGTGGGTGCCGAGTGCGTGGGTGCCGAGTGCGTTGGGTCGTGGTGCCGAGTGCGTGGTTGCCGAGTGCGTGGTTGCCGAGTGCGTGGGTGCCGATGCATGGTTGCCGGTGCGTGGGTGCCGAGTGCGTGGTTGCCGAGTGCGTGGGTGCCGAGTGCGTGGGTGCCGAGTGCGTGGGTGCCGAGTGCGTGGTTGCCGAGTGCGTGGGTGCCAAGTGCGTGGGTGCCGAGTGCGTGGGTGCCGAGTGCGTGGTTGCCGAGTGCGTGGTTGCCGAGTGCGTGGGTGCCGAGTGCGTGGTTGCCGAGTGCGTGGGTGCCGAGTGCGTGGGTGCCGAGTGCGTGGGTGCCGAGTGCGTGGTTGCCGAGTGCGTGGTTGCCGAGTGCGTGGTTGCCGAGTGCGTGGGTGCCGAGTGCGTGGTTGCCGAGTGCGTGGGTGCCGAGTGCGTGGTTGCCGAGTGCGTGGGTGCCGAGTGCGTGGTTGCCGAGTGCGTGGTTGCCGAGTGCGTGGTTGCCGAGTGCGTGGGTGCCGAGTGCGTGGGTGCCGAGTGCGTGGGTGCCGAGTGCGTGGGTGCCGAGTGCGTGGTTGCCGAGTGCGTGGTTGCCGAGTGCGTGGGTGCCGAGTGCGTGGTTGCCGAGTGCGTGGTTGCCGAGTGCGTGGTTGCCGAGTGCGTGGGTGCCGAGTGCGTGGGTGCCGAGTGCGTGGTTGCCGAGTGCGTGGGTGCCGAGTGCGTGGTTGCCGAGTGCGTGGGTGCCGAGTGCGTGGTTGCCGAGTGCGTGGTTGCCGAGTGCGTGGTTGCCGAGTGCGTGGGTGCCGAGTGCGTGGGTGCCGAGTGCGTGGGTGCCGAGTGCGTGGGTGCCGAGTGCGTGGGTGCCGAGTGCGTGGTTGCCGAGTGCGTGGTTGCCGAGTGCGTGGGTGCCGAGTGCGTGGTTGCCGAGTGCGTGGTTGCCGAGTGCGTGGTTGCCGAGTGCGTGGGTGCCGAGTGCGTGGGTGCCGAGTGCGTGGTTGCCGAGTGCGTGGTTGCCGAGTGCGTGGGTGCCGAGTGCGTGGTTGCCGAGTGCGTGGGTGCCGAGTGCGTGGTTGCCGAGTGCGTGGGTGCCGAGTGCGTGGTTGCCGAGTGCGTGGGTGCCGAGTGCGTGGTTGCCGAGTGCGTGGGTGCCGAGTGCGTGGTTGCCGAGTGCGTGGTTGCCGAGTGCGTGGTTGCCGAGTGCGTGGTTGCCGAGTGCGTGGTTGCCGAGTGCGTGGGTGCCGAGTGCGTGGTTGCCGAGTGCGTGGTTGCCGAGTGCGTGGGTGCCGAGTGCGTGGTTGCCGAGTGCGTGGTTGCCGAGTGCGTGGTTGCCGAGTGCGTGGGTGCCGAGTGCGTGGTTGCCGAGTGCGTGGTTGCCGAGTGCGTGGGTGCCGAGTGCGTGGTTGCCGAGTGCGTGGGTGCCGAGTGCGTGGGTGCCGAGTGCGTGGGTGCCGAGTGCGTGGGTGCCGAGTGCGTGGTTGCCGAGTGCGTGGTTGCCGAGTGCGTGGTTGCCGAGTGCGTGGGTGCCGAGTGCGTGGTTGCCGAGTGCGTGGGTGCCGAGTGCGTGGTTGCCGAGTGCGTGGGTGCCGAGTGCGTGGTTGCCGAGTGCGTGGGTGCCGAGTGCGTGGTTGCCGAGTGTGTGGTTGCCGAGTGCGTGGTTGCCGAGTGCGTGGGTGCCGAGTGCGTGGTTGCCGAGTGCGTGGGTGCCGAGTGCGTGGTTGCCGAGTGCGTGGGTGCCGAGTGCGTGGTTGCCGAGTGCGTGGTTGCCGAGTGCGTGGTTGCCGAGTGCGTGGGTGCCGAGTGTGCTACTCTCTGTGTGTGTGGTGAGGGGGCGAGAGGTGGGAGTGTGAGGGGGGGAGAGAAAGGGGAAAGTCGGGGTAGAGGGGCGCTGAAACCTTGCTCAGAAGTGAGTGCTGAGCGCATGTGTGTTGCTGCACCAATCCTCTCTCTTATGGTCCATCACTGGGGCATCTCTGAGTGAGCCAGACTGGCATTCGGAGATGTTTTAATGCGCCCACTCTTTATTCTCCACGTCTTTCCCCCTGCTCCTCTCAGGCTGGTGACAATGATGACGGCGAAGATGAAGGGGAAGATGGTGGAGATGGCGCGCTCACACACGGTCTCACGCGTGCTGCAGATGTGTGTCAAGCACGGCCGCAAGGAGGAGCGCGAGGCCGTCTTTTCAGAGCTGCAACCGCACTGCCGCGAGCTGGCGGTGCATCCCTACGCTCACCACCTGGTCAACCGCATGATGGACCATGGTGAGTGTGTGTGAGGTGCTCGTCCTTCCTAACTACAAGGTGGATGGCCGCAAGAAGGGAAGGGAGGCCGTCATGTCTGATCTGCGCCCGCACTGCCGCGAGCTGACCGCGCATCCCTATGCCCACCACCTGGTCAACAGGAAAATGGACCATGGTGGGTTTCTCTGTGAGTATGAAATCGCGCGCCAGCTGGAGGATTTGAGATGAGTTGTGACAACGCCGCTCTAAAGTGATGCCACCCTCTCCCCTCTCTCCGTCCCCTTTTCCTCCCTGCATGGACGCAGCGAACAAGGAGAAGAAGCAGCAAGTGGCCATGCAGCAAGATGACATCTTGGTGCAGCCGAGGTGACTTTTGAGTCGACTCGGGAAAGACGATGCGGTATGTGCCAGTGCCACAGTGGGCAACTGAGGGGCCACGTGGTGGAGATGATGCGCCACCCTGTCGCCAGTGCTGGTACGTGTGGGGGGTGTGGGGGGGGCGGGTGGGGAGGGAGGGAGGGAAAGACGATGCGGTATGTGCCAGTGCCACAGCGGGCAACTGAGGGGCCACGTGGTGGAGATGATGCGCCACCCTGTCGCCAGTGCTGGTACGTGTGGGGGGTGTGGGGGGGGCGGGTGGGGAGGGAGGGAGGGAAAGACGATGCGGTATGTGCCAGTGCCACAGCGGGCAACTGAGGGGCCACGTGGTGGAGATGATGCGCCACCCTGTCGCCAGTGCTGGTACGTGTGGGGGGTGTGGGGGGGGGCGGGTGGGGAGGGAGGGAGGGAAAGACGATGCGGTATGTGCCAGTGCCACAGCGGGCAACTGAGGGGCCACGTGGTGGAGATGATGCGCCACCCTGTCGCCAGTGCTGGTACGTGTGGGGGGTGTGGGGGGGGCGGGTGGGGAGGGAGGGAGGGAAAGACGATGCGGTATGTGCCAGTGCCACAGCGGGCAACTGAGGGGCCACGTGGTGGAGATGATGCGCCACCCTGTCGCCAGTGCTGGTACGTGTGGGGGGTGTGGGGGGGGCGGGTGGGGAGGGAGGGAGGGAAAGACGATGCGGTATGTGCCAGTGCCACAGCGGGCAACTGAGGGGCCACGTGGTGGAGATGATGCGCCACCCTGTCGCCAGTGCTGGTACGTGTGGGGGGTGTGGGGGGGGCGGGTGGGGAGGGAGGGAGGGAAAGACGATGCGGTATGTGCCAGTGCCACAGCGGGCAACTGAGGGGCCACGTGGTGGAGATGATGCGCCACCCTGTCGCCAGTGCTGGTATTTTGGGGGGATGGGGGGGTGGTGTGTGTGGGGGATGAGGGAAAGATGTTGCTGTATGTGCCAGTGAGTGGTGCTGGCACTGGTCAGGAAGGGCCTTGGGTGCTGTCACCAACCACCACAGCGGGCAGCTGAGGAGCCACGTGATCGAGCGTATGTTTTTTGAGAATTCTAAAAAAACGCAGCTGAGGGGCCACGTGATCGAGATGATGCGGCACCCTATTGCCAGTGCCGGTACGTGTGTGGGGGGTGAGAGGGGTGGGTGAGAGGGGAGGGAAAATTGATAGAGCACGCGTACCAGCTATCAGCACCCCCCCAGCGATCAGCCCTCGCATCCGAGTTCTTTGCGCCAGACTTCCGCCTCTTCCCCTCTCTGTGCTCGTATCCGGGTTCGGATGCGAACTCAGACAGCCCTCTTCCCCTCTCTGTGCTCCCGGGTTCCGGCCGTCTGAGCTGCTGGTTCGCCTATTCACATCTCACCTCTTCCCCCCACTCTCCCTCCCCCTCACTTACCTCTTTCTCTCCCTCTCTCTCCACCCGCCCTTCCCCTACCTACCCCCCCCCCAACACCAGTGATAGAGCACGCGTACCAGCTATCAGCGCCCCCCCAGCGGTCAGCCCTCGCATCCGAGTTCTTCGCTCCAGACTTCCGCCTCTTCCCCTCGCTCGCCCTCCCGGGTGCCGGGCGTCTGAGCGACCTGCTGGCCAACCTCCCCTCGGGCACCAGCCGGCAGTCCGTGCTGCAGCATTTAGAAACCTCCCTGCAGCCGATACTGGAAAAGGGAATTGTGGATCATTCCCTGTTCCACCGCGTTCTCGCGGATTATCTGGGCGTTATTTCCAAGGTACGGTGGTCTCTGGGCCCCCAGACAAAACAGACCGTGCTGCATTGCAGCCGATTCTCGAGAAGGGGATAGTGGACTACTCGCTGTTCCACCGCGTGCTGGCGGATTATCTGGGCGTGATTTCCAAGGTATGGTTGGTCCGTGGGTGGGGGGCACCTTCCTGAGAAGGGCATCGTGGATAACTCACTGTTCCACAGAGTGCTGGCAGATTACCTGGGAGTCATCTCCAAGGTATGATGGTGGGTCCGTGGGTGGGGGGCACCAGCAGGCAGTCCGTGCTGCAGCACCTGGAAGCTTCCCTGCAGCCCATTCTGGAGAAGGGGATCGTGGATCACTCCCTGTTCCACAGGGTGCTAGCAGACTACCTGGGCGTTATTTGCAAGGTATGGTAGCCCTTGACACGTGCGGGTGGGTGGGTGGGTGGGGTCAAGAGAGGTGAAGCCTGACCTAGGTAAGCCCTCCCGGGCGCCGGTCGTCTCTTCGACCTGCTGGCGAACCTCCCCTCGGGCACCAGACTGTGCTGCAGCATTTAGAAACGTCCCTGCAGCCCATTTTGGAGAAGGGGATTGTGGACCACTCCCTGTTCCACCGCGTGTTGGCAGACTACCTGGGAGTCATCTCCAAGGTACGGCGGGTCCGTGGGGTGGGGTGAGGGGCACCAGCAGGCAGTCCGTGCTGCAGCATTTAGAAGCTTCCTTGCAGCCGATTCTGGAGAAGGGGATCGTGGACCATTCACTCTTCCACCGCGTTCTGGCGGATTGTCTGGGAGTCATCTCCAAGGTATGGTGGGTCTGTATGTGGGGTGGGGGGGGCACCAGTACGCAGGCAGTCCGTGCTGCAGCATTTAGAAACTTCCGTGCAGCCCATCCTGGACAAGGGGATAGTGGACCATTCTCTGTTTCACAGGGTGTTAGCGGATTACCTGGGCGTCATCTCCAAGGTAGGCCGGGATCGTTGGGTATTTCAAGCGTATGTGGGCTAATCTGATCTGATTGGTATGTTATAAGTGGACTCGAAATAAGCCTTATTGGAGGGTTGATTCCAAGCTTTGGGTTAATTGTGCATCAGACATATGTGTGTGATGGCATGGCACTTTTGAGAATTCTCAAAAGTCACATCAACATAACTGTGATGGCATCGCCAGAAACCCGTCAAGCCGTTTCAGATTTAACCCTCCTTCCTTCCCACCCTTTCCCCTCTCGTCCTGTTTGTTTGGAATGCAGAGGGAGGTAGCAGAGGTGCGGCAGCAGCTGATGGGCGCGCTGCTGCTGCGCATGGTGCACACGCGGGATGGGGTCAGGATCGCCAATACCATGGTGGCGAATGCAACTCCCAAGGTGAGCAGTCACATGCCATGCCGGGGACTCCCTAGTTGGACGGCGCTGCGCATGGTGCACACAGGGGTTGGGGTCAGGATCGCCAATACCATGGTGGCACAGGCAACTCCCAAGGTGGGCCAGCACAACCTGTGCTAGTAAATATTTGTTTCACTACTGCAACGTGCGCAAAATCTCACAAACTTGTTATTTCGCCAAGCAACCGACTGATGCATATTTTCCACCACTTCACATCTGTTCCCTGGAATGTGGCATGGCATGGCATGGCATGGCATGGCATGGCATGGCACCGTGGCACCATGGCATGGCACCATGGCATGGCATGGCATGGCATGGCATGGCATGGCATGGCATGGCATGGCATGGCATGGCATGGCACCGTGGCACCATGGCATGGCACCATGGCATGGCATGGCATGGCATGGCCGGGCCTGCATGTCATGTGGCGTGGCCTGGCGTTTATGGCCTGACTTTTCCGGCCTCATGTGGCATGGGATGGGATGTCCTTTTTTGCATGGCGTGGCATGGCGTGGCATGTTGTTGCATGTGGCAGGAGGTGCGGAAAGTGGTGAAGGCATTGAAGGGGGTGGTGGCGCGGGTGGCATGTGACGACCACGGCCACCTGCTGCTGCTGCAGCTCTTAGAATCCGCCTCGTCAGGGCCCCTGAATCGGGTATGTCTCCAAGCATACCTGCTATGTATGGTGTGCCATGTGTGGCATGTGACGACCACGGCCACCTGCTGCTGCTGCAGCTGCTCGAATCAGCGTCCTCAGGCCCGCTCAACCGGGTATGTATGCATGCACTGACACTGAAAAGGGTAGGTACCTTACCAGGCCCTTTGAACAGTGGCACGATGTGGTGCGGGTGGCACAATGTGGTGCGGGTGGCACGATGTGGTGCGGGTGGCATGTGACGACCACGGCCACCTGCTGCTGCTGCAGCTGCTCGAGTCCTCATCCTCTTGGCCTCTCAACCGGGTAAGTTACTCGGAACACGATGCTTCGAGTGGTGAAGGCGCTCAAGGGGGTGGTGGCGCGGGTGGCATGTGACGACCACGGCCACCTGCTGCTGCTGCTCGAATCCGCCTCATAAGGCCCTCACCTGATGCGAGCATATTTTCAGCTCCTTGCCCCTCTTTGCCCCCTTTGCCCCCCATCTCACCCCAGTTTGTGATCAAGGAGCTCCTAAAGGTCCTGTTGGAGGTGATGCGGGAGCGGATTGGCCACTTAATGCCATCAGTCTTGCTGTTCTGTTTCCCCTCCCCCACTCCAGTTCGTGATCAAGGAGCTCTTAAAGGACCTCTTCGGAGTGATGCAGGAGCGCATGAATAACCCCCTCCTCCCCCACTCCTCCCCACGCCCCCCCTCTTCCCCCCCCCGGCTCAACCCTTTCCTCCCTCTCAGTTCGTGATCAAGGAGCTGTTGAAGGACCTGTTCGAGGTGATGCAGGAGCACATTCGGCAGCTAATGCCATCACATTCGGCAGCTAATGCCATCCTTTTTTTGTCCACCTTTCCGCCCTTGCCCTCCATTACCACACTTCAGTTTGTGATAAAGGAGCTGTTGAAGGACCTCTTTGAGGTGATGCAGGAGCGTATTGGCCGCCGGTTCCTGCTGCAGCTGCTGGCCCCCTCCTCCCACCGCTACCTGCCGCCCGATGCCGCCCAGGCCGTTGTGCTGGGCGGCAGAGTGGAGGAGGAGGTACAGGAGGAGAAGGAGGAAGAAGGGGAGCAGGGGGAGGAGGAGGGAGGTGAGGAGGGAGAGGAAGGGGAGGAAGAGAATGGGAAGGGCCAGGAAGGGATAGTGGTGGAAGGGGAGGATGGAGAGGAGGAGGGAGAGGAGGGGGATGAGGAGGAAGGTGAGGGAGTTGAGATGGGAGAGGAAGATGATGAGGAGGAAGGAGAGGAGGAGGGAGAGGGTGAAGAGGGGGAGGATGAGGGATATGAGGGAGAAGAAGGGGAGGAAGGAGAGGAAGGAGAGGAGGAGGGGGAGGAAGGAGAGGAAGGAGAGGAGGGAGAGGAGGAAGGAGAGAAAACGATCAAGTCGAAGAAGAAGGGGAGGCTGGATGGCAAGAAGAGAAAGGAGGCAGCAGCGGCTGCTGCACCATTGGATGATAGTGATGATGACGAGGAGGAGGAGGATGAAGGGGAGGAGGGGGGCGAGGGGGAGGGAGGGCAGGGGTCTCGATCCCTTGTGAAGAGAAGGAAGCTTCTTGTGGATTCAGGATTGGCAGAGGTGAGCAGGGATTAAGGAGTGCTTGGATGGGGTGGGATGGGATTGGATGGTCTTGGCAGGGGTTAGATGGGATGAGAAGCTCCGATACTCAGCTGCACTGTTTGGTGTTTCTCTTCGCCCTGCGCATCCTTGCCCTGCGCATCCTTGCCCTGCGCATCCTTGCCCTGCGCATCCTTGCCCTGCGCATCCTTGCCCTGCGCATCCTTGCCCTGCGCATCCTTGCCCTGCGCATCCTTGCCCTGCGCATCCTTGCCCTGCGCATCCTTGCCCTCTGCATCCTTGCCCTCTGCATCCTTGCCCTCTGCATCCTTGCCCTCTGCATCCTTGCCCTCTGCATCCGTGCCCTGTGCATTTATTAGGAAATGCTCAAGCCAACAGCGGAGCATGCAGGGTCCATAGTAGCTCGTGAGACGTCCATAATATACGCATGTGTTGCACTGTGCTGCCTGCTGTGTGTGCTGCTCTGGACCCTCAATCTAACAGGAGATGCTCAAGCTGGCAACGGAGCATGCAGGAGCGATGCTGACGTCTCAGTTCGCCTGCGATGTCATCTATGAGGTACTGTGCGCTACGTGATAATCACGTGGTTTTGAGACGTCTCAAAGACACATTGTTATCACGTGGCTATCTGCTGACCTCTCAGTTCGCCTGCGATGTCATCTATGAGGTACTGAGCAACTGTTGAGGCGCCTCAAAAGACTTTTGAGGTGCCTCAAAAGTCGCAACAGAGCATGCAGGAGCGATGCTGACGTCTCAGTTTGCCTGCGATGTCATCTATGAGGTACTGTGCGCTACGTGATAATCACGTGGTTTTGAGACGTCTCAAAGACACATTATTATCACGTGGCTATCTGCTGACTTCTCAGTTCGCCTGCGATGTCATCTATGAGGTACTGTGCGCTGTTACAGTTGCACCTGTGGCACATGTGTTGTGTGCGTTTCATCTGTGAGCTACATGGCGCGTTCGTACAATCTCATATGGCCTCTGTATTCTCACTCCTCTCCTTGTCCCACCCCCTTACTAATACTTCTCCCTCCTTCGTGTTTCTTCCCCACACATCCCGCCGCCTTCCCTTTCCAGCTTGCCCGAGGAGGGGATTCTTCTCTGCTCGCCCTCCACCACCCCTCGCTCCTCTCCGCCCTGCACTCTGCCATCGCCGCTGCTGCCGCTGCTCCCCGTCCCCTTACTAATACTGCTCCCTCCTTCGTGTTTCTTCCACACATATCCCACCGCCTTCTCTCTCCAGCTTGCCCGAGGAGGGGATTCTTCTCTGCTCTCCCTTCACCACCCCTCACTCCTCTCCGCTCTGCACTCTGCCATCGCTGCTGCCGTCTCTTCTCATTCCTGTAATAACACTGCTCTTCCTTACCCCTTTCTTCCTTCCCGCATCCCACCCTCTCCAGCTTGCTCGCGGGGGGGATTCTTCTCTGCTCGCCCTCCACCACCCCTCACTCCTCTCCGCCCTGCATTCAGCCATTGCCGCTGCTGCCTCTCCTCCCCGCCCTGTTGCTGCTGCGGGCACTGCCAACAGCGAGAAAGCGAAGAAGGGGAAAAAGGGGAAGGGGAAGAGCAAGGAGGGACAGGGCAAGGAGAAGGAGAAGGCGGAGGAGGAAGGGGAGGAGGGGGAGAAGGCAGAGGGGGAGGAAGCGGAGCAGCAGCCAAGCCATGTGTTGGAGGACTTTTTTGGGAGTAGAGTGCTCAGGCGCCTGGTGGCGGATGAAGAGAGACTTGCAGCTGCGGCTGCAGCAGCAGAGGCTGAGGGTGCCGCGGAAGGAGCAGCAGAAACGGCAAAGACAGAAGAAGGAGAGGAAGGGGAAGTGGAGCCTTTCTGTGCTGTGCTGTGGCGAGAGGCACTGCAAGGGCGGTGCAGGGAGTGGGGCACGAGACACAGGTGAGATGGGAGGACACATATTTGGGGCCATCGAAGGGTTGGATCCTTCACGCTGCAGCTCTTCTTCATGACCAGTGACCCAGGGAGTGGGGCACAAGGCACAGGTGAGATGGGAGGACACATATTTGGGGCCATCCAAGGGTTTATGGCAAGCACCTCGTAAATTTTCCCTCATCTCTTCCCTCGCCCTCATCCCTTCCCACATCCACCCTCCTTTTCTCTCCCTCTTGTTTTTTTTCCGTCCCTCTTTTCCTTTCTTCGCTCCTCTTTTCCCTTTCCCCTTCCTCTTTTTTTCTTTTTTTTTCTTTCCTGTTCTCCCCTTTGTCTGCAGTGCCAAGGTGGTGGCAGCACTGGCCCATGCCCCGCACAAGCCAACAAAAGACGCTGCCCTGGCAGAAATGGCGACTTTCTATGATGAGCCTGAGTTTGCAGCGCTGAAACGATTGGTGGAGAGTCCACCCTTGCACCACCACCATTAGCAGCAGCAGCAGCAGCAGCACTAGGACCACCAGCAATGTTGGTGAACAGATGATTTGACTTGGATATATTGCAATCTGGTTACTGGTAACCCACATGGCCTTGCCAACAGGTCAAGCTAGCTTTCTTCCTTGATGCGGCCTATGAATTTCAGTTTATACCATTCTGCAATCCATGTGACAGCACAGCACCAGATTCATATACGGTACGATATTACCACAAAGCCAAGGTCAATGCAGTCTTTGAGACAGGCAAGGCAAGGCTGGCTAACTAACTACACTCGGCTGGTACTAGCACTTGCATAGGCCATTAGGCAGATACTGGTATTTGATACATCACACACACAAACAACAGACATAGGAAAGAAGCAGGGAACCTGCAACAGCAACAACAGCGACGGAACTAGCAGCAGTGGCAGCAGTCAACTCTAGCCAAGAGATACTGATTGCATTGCATCGCAGCAACTGATCCACTCTTACAGCAGCAGCAAAGCAAATACCGTACGCAGCAGCACATGTCGCCAATACGACCAGCAGGACCAGGCAGGCAGGACCACGCTTGGATTGCACCTCCCTAATTCCGGGCCCGACTAACCGCGACACTTAGCATCAACAGTGCAACACCCAGTGTGGAAACACTTAGGCGCAGCACTTAGTATCGCAGCCAGAAGGTGCGGCGGCGCAGCCAGTTGTAGTCTGGGAGGAACTGCGTGGGGCCGATGGCTGCAACCGCTACGTCCTGGTGGGGGGAATGTGGGGAAGGGGCGGGGGGGGGAAGGGAGGAACATTTGGCAGCAAGACTAGGCATGTCAGTGAATGGTGCTGCCAGTTGTAGTCTGGGAGGAACTGCGTGGGGCCGATGGCTGCCACTGCCACGTCCTGTCGAAAGAGGGTAGGGGGAGAGGTGGAGGGGGTTGGTGGAGAAAAGGGGATGGGAGAGGCAGAGAGGCACAGGACTAGGGTTGAGGGGTGAGGGGTGGTTGGGGAGGGGGGCGAGGGGTGTGGGGTGGATGGGGAGGGGAGGACGAGAGAGGCGGAGAGGCAGAGCATTAGCGACTGTGGCAGCCAGTTGTAGTCTGGGAGGAACTGAGTGGGGCCGATGGCTGCCACTGCCACGTCCTGTGATGGGAGAGGCGGAGAGGCAGTGCATTAGGAACTGTGGCAGGCACTTGTAACCCGGGAGGAACTGCGTGGGGCTGACAGCTGCCACCACGTAGATGCAAGCAAACATGATCACCCATCCCACTCGGTACCTTATACAGCATTGCCACTCACCCTCTCTAGCAGGAACCGCTCTGCAACTCGCTTCACCGTGTCAGCGTCCACCGCGTCAATGCGCGCGAACATCTCCGCCAGCGGGATGCGCCGCCCATACGTGATCAGCACACCGCCTACTACCATCATCACCCATCATCACCCATCATCACCCCTCATCACCCATCACACAGCTCACCCTGTCCATCAGGAACCGCTCTGCAACGCGCTTCACCGTCTCAGCATCCACAGCGTCAATGCGGGCGAACATCTCAGCCAGCGGGATGCGGCGCCCGTACGTGATCAGCTGCCGCCCAATGTCCTCCGCCACCGCACTTGATCCGTCCAGATGCAGCGCAAGGGATGCCTTGAGCTGTGGGAAGGGGTGAGAAGGGGTAGGGAGTGGTAAGAAGGGGTGGATGGGGTATATAGAGGAAGAGGGTTGTGTGAACGAATGTGATCAGCTGCCGCCCAATGTCCTCCGCCACTGCACTCGATCCGTCCAGATGCAGAGCAAGCGACGCCTTGAGCTGTGGGGAGCGGTGAGGAGGGGTGGGGAGTGGTAAGAAGGGGTGGATGGGGTATATAGAGGAAGAGGGTTGTGTGAACGAATGTGATCAGCTGCCGCCCAATGTCCTCCGCCACTGCACTTGATCCGTCCAGATGCAGAGCAAGCGAGGCCTTGAGCTGTATGGGTGAGTTGGGGTGGGGTGGAGAGGGGTGCACATGTATGAACGTGATCAGCTGCCGGCCAATGTCCTCCGCCACTGCGCTCGAGCCGTCCAGATGCAGTGCCAGGGACGCCTTGAGCTGTGGGGTGTTGGATGGGGTTGGGAGGGGTGGGAAGGAGTGGTGGGCGGGGTGAATAGGGGGAGGGGTAGACGTGTGTGATCAGGTGCCGCACAGTGCCCTCTGCCCACTGCACTTGATCCGTCCAGATGCAGAGCAAGCGAGGCCTTGAGCTGTTGGGTGAGTTGGAAGGGGTGGAGAGGGTTGGGGAGGAGTGGTGGGTGGGGGTATATGGGGGGAGAGTACTATGTGTAAATGTGATCAGCTGCCACCCAATGCCCTCCGCCACTGCACTCGGGCCGTCCAGATGCAGAGCAAGAGACGCCTTGCGCTGTGGGTTGAGTTGGGTTTGGAAGGGTAGGGGAAGGGGGTGGAGGGCGGGTGGGGTACATGGCACGGATGAGCGAAGGAAGAAGAGAGGAAAAGAAGGAGAGAGGGAAGGGGGAGGGGGAGAGTGGGAGAATGCGACAGCAGTAGCGTTGTTGAAGCGAGTGGCATCACCGGATGAGCAGAGTGAGGAAGATGGGCAGCTCTTTGGGATTGGCCAGGGCAAGCAGTGAGGAATGGATGGTGCAATGGTGAGGTCACAGCATGCCAACCAAAACATCACGTAAGCATGCTGACATCATGCCGACAGCATGCTGACATGGCACTTACCGCGTTGCCAGCGCGGGTGACGTCATCATCTGAGACGCGGTAGACGAGGCGAGTGATCTCATGCATCATGGCCCACGCGAGATCGTCCAGATGGTCGGGCTGCTCACGGCATGGCACCAGAAAGAACAGCACATCAAGGAAAACGGGGGGGAGAGATTGGGAACAGGACAGGGTAGGGTGGGCACGTGAGACGCAGCACGCGGTACACGAGGTGGGTGAACTCTCGTGCATCATGGCCCATGCAAGGCCGTCCAGATGGTCGGGCTGCTCATGTGCAGGGGGGCATGAGAGGAGGGTGAGGAGATGGGGACATGGCAAATGAAGCACACGGCATATGCGAGTAACCCCATCTCTCATGCATCATGGCCCACGCGAGGTCATCCAGATGGTCGGGCTGCTCATGTGCAACAAATGGAGAGAGGCAATAGGACACGGTAGGGTGGGGCATGTGAGACACAGTGCATGATGGGTGCGGCGAGTGACCTCATGCATCATGGCCCATGCTAGGTCGTCCAGATGGCCATGCTGCGCACATGCATAGGGACAGGCGAGGGAGAAGATGGGGGGAAAACATGGGATGCGCACATGTGTGACGTAAAGCAAGGTGGTTTTCAAGACAACACAAACCATGAAGAAACAGTAAGCGGTAGTAACAGCAAGAAACAGTAACCACGCATGCGGAAACAGTAACCACCCATGGGAGCCCACCCACCTTGGCGCAGGCATAGACGCCAAAGAGGCCCGTGTCCGAGTAGTTGGTGTTGAATGCCATGACGCGCTCACACAGTAACAGCGCACAATGCCACAAGCACCTCTGAACGCACCACACCTCAACCCAGCCCTGCCCAGCCGACCCACAGCAACCACCCGCAAGCACCCATGGGAGCCCAGCCCACCTTGGCGCAGGCATAGACGCCAAAGAGCCCCGTGTCCGAGTAGTTGGTGTTGAATGCCATGAATCGCTCACACAGGCCATTGGCCGCCACCTTCTGTGCCAACTCGGAGCTGAGAGGGCAGGGGGAGTGGGTGTGAGGGAGAGGGGCAGGGGTGGATGAGCAGGGAGAGAGCGTGGATGGATGGAGGCAGTTGGTGTTGAACGCCATGAATCGCTCGCACAGGCCGTTGGCCGCCACCTTCTGCGCCAACTCCGACCTGAGGGGAGGGAAGGGGGTAAGTAAGAGGGGATGAGGAAGTGGGGCAGGAATAGAGCAGCAGGGACAGAGAGAGATTGGAGCGGAGGCGGTTAGTGTTAACGCCATGAAGCGTTCACATGGACTGTTGGCCGCCACCTTCTGTGCCAACTCTTGAGTCGACTCAAAAGTCAACTCGCGTTCACATGGACTGTTGGCCGCCACCTTCTGTGCCAACTCCGACCTGAGTTGAAACAGGGAAAGGGTACGAGGGAACGATGGGGCGAGGGGATGGGTACCGGCTAAATCCTTTCCAACTTAACTTACCCTAGAACGCCCCCCTTCCCCCCCCTTCGCCCCACAGCTCCACGACCCCAGCATGGCCTGCATGCCTGCAATTACGCTCTCCGAATACCTCTGCAACCGCCACTCACCCCAGTGTGTTCCCCCCTCCAGCCCCACGGCTCCACGGCCCCAGCATGGTCTGCAAGACCTGCAGCGCCACGGCATCGGGATCCGTCCAGCTGGGTTACCGCTCGCCGTCATGCCATACCACCTCAACACATGTATCTTACTCACCCCAGAGCATTTCCGCCACCCGCACCGCGGCTCCACGGCCCCAGCATGGTCTGCAAGACCTGCAGCGCCACTGCGTCACCCTCCTCCCAGCCCCACTTTGGTTGCCCACCAAACCATACCACACAACCTCAACACATGTATCTTACCCCAGCGCGTTCCCTCCGCCTGCCCCACGGCTCCACGACCCCAGCATGGTCTGCATGATCTGCAGCGCCACGGCATCAGGGTCCGTCCAGCTGGCGCCCTTGTAGGCGATGGCGAAGTTTGTGAGCGGCATGTCGTCGTCACGGATGCGCACCTCGGAGCCTGGAGGGGGACAGGGGGGTAGGGGACGGGGGTGCGGAAAGTGGGCGGCAAAGAGGGAGAGATCTCAACGGTCCAGCTGGCGCCCTTGTAGGCGATGGCGAAGTTGGTCAGCGGCATGTCGTCGTCACGAATGCGCACCTCCGAGCCTGGAAAGGAGGAGGGGTGTTATGCAGCAAGAGGGAGGGGCGGAGGGGTCAACGTTGAGAGCGGTGTGAGGAGAGAAGGGGGGGTTGTAAGATTGAAACATCAGTTCAGCTGGCGCGCTTGTAGGCGATGGCGAAGTTGGTC